GAGAAAAACGCCTATAGCTCTTCGAGGGTTTCTACCTGTTCCAAGTTCAGGGTTTGGCGTGGGATCGGCAACCCCATCCCGTAGAAAACGACCTTGCTAAAAAACACCAACCAGAATAAACCAAACTATTTAAACTTTGCCCTCCCAGTTCATGGAAGAATTATGACTCCTCATGATGAAAGTCGAGATTCTTTGGAAGCTACGAGAATTTTGCCTCTTCTAACAACCAGAGCAACAATTTTTATAGGTACATTGAATGTTCGGACAATGTGGAAGACCGGGAGGACCAGTCAAATAGCTGCGGAAATGAGATGTAACTTAGCATGGCTCGGGATCAGCTAAACCTATTGGATCCAAGCTGGATAGATACGGAAGAGATGTTGCTGATGTTGACGGTCAATTCCTTCTCTCACTTCTTAATAACTCTTTTATCCCCACGACTAACCTTTCTCGTATATCTTTTTCACTACACGTCACCGCTGCTAATTTAATTTTACGAAATTTTATTCTTAGTCTTCTGAAACCACTCTCTAAACTACATGTTGGAGCTCTTAATGTTCGAACCTTATCAGATAAGACAACAGGCTTTTTAGCTAGGATTCTAGAATTTCGTGCCATCGATATATGTTGCGTCTCCGAAACGCTCATATACGATTTAAGTACGGTCGTTTATTTCACTTCGTCAATATAAAGAACGTCATGAGTTATCCTTTGAGTACATGTAGCTCCCACTAGTACTCTCCGTGGCTTTGCTGGTGTAGGTATAGCGTTAAGTTCAAAAGCAGAACAGGATCTGTTAGACTGAACTCTAATAGACAGTCACTTGTGCTCTGTTTGACTAAAATAGACAGTAAGAACCTGGGAAGATAGGGACATATCCCATTTCCCTTTCGTTGTCTCTCCCTACGCTCCCACTGATTGAAACTCATACGAAGTTAAAGACGAATTTTGTGGGAAGCTATCCAACATTCAAAAAGCTAAATATTATTGTAGTAATAGTGGTAGGTGATTTTAATGCTCATGTAGGTAGACTACACCAAACCGAAAGGTAATTGGGCAGATCGTACGGTGTTACGACTCAGCGAACAGATAACAGCGAGTGCCTATTGCAACTGTGCTCAAATAACCGTCTATTTCTAGCAAATTCTAACTTTAAACATAATGAGAAACATTGTCAAACGTGGTGATTCCGACAACCGACCCATTGATGAACCCCAATAGATCACATTGTCATCAACCATCGTTGAAGTGTTTCCGTAGAAACTTGTCGCTCATTCTGGAGCACATGTTTAGATTTGAATCATGCTCTAGCTGGAGCACGTATTTGTCTGCGTCTTACTGGACATAGATAAACCACAGCAAGAAAACTCCCTTAGAATTCAACTTAATGGTGAAAAAGTTAAAAGTATATTTCAGGAACAACTAAAGAAGGAGTTAGCCAACCATGAGAGTGATACTCACTTCATAGTAGCTTGGTATGATATCCAAGAAGCTGGGGAAATAGCAGAGATATCTACTAGTATCTTAAACCAAAAGACTAGGAAAAATAAGTGAATTTCATCTGCCTCTGCAGAACTGGTAAATGCTCCGAAACTCATTCCATTTATTTATTGATTTGAACATATAAATATTAGTACAAAGGGGCACTGAATACACATTCACCACACAGGTAACTTGATTTGTGTGTGGGCTGTAATACTGCCCGGGTGCCCAAACCGAAGCAGGTGGTTTTTACAGGGGGCCACACCCGGAGACTTCGGCCTAAAAGTCTGATCCACAAGGTAGTGGAGCAACGTCGGGAAATAAAGTCCCATGGTTTACTGCTCAACAGCTCGCTCCGTTCTATTTTACGAATATAAAACCTGGCTGTTAATAGTAAAATATATTCTCAGGTTACTAGTATTTGAACATAGGTGTCTTTGAAGCATTGCTCGTGTACTTTGGGACCACCGAGTAAGAAATACCTGGGTTAGGAATAGAGTACTAGGTAAGGATTGCAGGCCGATTGATAAGATAGTAAATCTTCATCAACTGAGGTAGTTAGTACGTGTGTTACGTATGTGCAACCACCGGTTACCTCTACGGGCGATGTTGTTTGGTATAGAAGCAGGCTAGAAGATAGAGGTGGCCGAAACAAAATATGTCATCAGTCCATGAAATCAATGACAGCTGGACTTAAACATGTTAATAGGTGTATACTACCTGGTTTGGATCCGCATGATTATCGTGACCAATAGTTAGAGACTTTGAACGATATAGCTCAAAATTGTTTCCAATCGCGTGCATACATCCGTTCTTTGTCGCCTCCAAAATCCTGAGATTCTAAATTCCTCATAATATTTTTAATCTCTCTAATTTATATTTTCTTGAATTTTGTCTTCGATCCCTAATCTTTTCTATTAACACTGATACTGTTATTACATTTACCATTTTGGGATTCGGCCTGATGATTTAATCTATTAGTGTTAATAGGATATGGCAACTTGAACCGATGTACATACGTACTAGGTTCTACGTTGTGACTAACTGACTGGTTAGTGTAGAAAATGAAATAACAGCACCTGATGATAATTAACTTAGTCTACATTCATTAATTTGTGTCTGTTATTTTTGCAGTTTAACTTCATTTCATCTTTAAGTAAAGCATTTTTTGTATTGTGCATCACACGGATTCTAAACTAGTGAAGTATGGATTGAAGTTACCTCAGTTATTTCTTAATACACAAGAAATAATCGATGTTGCGAGTTCACTAGCCTACTTCTCTCGGTTGATAATTACTTTAAGTTAAACATAGTTGTGTTCTTGTTTTCGTAAACTTTTAATATATGGAAATAAGATTTAACTTTAACTTCTGTGTTAGTTATCGACTCTTATTGTAAACACTGACTACTCAGTCATTGTAAAAAAATCAAAATATTTTGCTTAGGCTATGGTGTTTCTTTACGAAGCTGTTAGACTGTAAATAATTTCATGAAAAAACATACATCGTCTAAATATAATACTTTTGTCAATTGTTACTATTGTGTTTATCATAGAAAACGTCTAATCTCTTTTACGGAATTTAGTCATAATATACTTTTGTTCACTGAATGAATATAAACCAAATACCAATTGTCTATGTTGACAGATAAATTGGTAGTTTAGAACAAAGAGAGAAATACAAGCGCTTTATCAACTCATTTTGTAGTGACTAGTGGCTGCATCATTCTCCGACTAAATATTACAACGAATTCAGACTTCTTTTTACCGGACAAAACGTGATCGTCGACCGGTTGATTGGTATTTCCAAATGTCCTAAATGATAAAGAACCACTTTTCATCAAGTATGACATGAGTGTTTGATTTTATTCACTATTTACAACTTTTTAAGGTAGTAAGATCGATTTGTCATTATGGAATATCTTTGTAATGCAAAAGTAGTTAACCATCTCTTGATTCTTGTTTAAAATCATTTACAAAACTTCTTTACATTCAAGTTGCATAATGATTTTTTTTAGTTTATACCTAAAAGATATATCTTTTTTTCCAAAGCAATTCATTCTTGTTCTTATAGGATAAAACCGACTTTTATTTGAAATAAGTCGTCAATATTCACTCGATTCCATTGCTTATGAAACTGTATTGAAGCGTTAATATGTTAAGTTGTGAGGTTCATTAATTTAGTTGTACTTGTTCATCATACTGATCCTAGATCGTATATTGACCAGATCATAACATAATCTATCATCTAATTACTAACTAATACATATTTATATAGAACTACTGCATGTTGAGCATAGTGTTCATATTACTTCTCTCCTACTTTGATTCACACTTATTGATTCTTTGGCGCCCAGATTCAAAAATGTTTGTTGATCATAATCATCCTCCTGTCAAATATGAATGATATCTCTAATGATTTATCCTTGTTTTTTCCGTTTTGATAATTCAGCAAGAGATCTGTTTTTTATTATTACTGTTATTATTATTTAATGATCTAAATTTTCAGTTTTATCTAAAGTATTAGTGCTTCAGCGTAAATGAATTGCATGGTTAATAACTTGCTAGAATTAATCTGACTTTCATTTTTCATTTCGAGAAAAATAGCAAAAAACAAACAAAATCATTATTGTAAATTACTTATTGATTTTATATTTTGACTTTCTTATGTTTATTCATTCTTTTCAACTATATCGTTTAGATTAATCCGCCAAGTGAGCATCGTGTATCACGTGTACTGGAGTTGGTGAAAGCATTTGAAGGGGGTCTTTAATAAATCATTAAATATAGATGAATTATGAATTTTGGTGCTTAATTTCTTTGCCACTTTACTTTTACCATGTTTAATTACTACTATTCTTTTTATTATTATTATTATTATTATTATTATTATTATTATTATTATTATTATTACTAATTGTAATATGACTGACAGACCTTAATACTCCCCACTCCGAGATGTTCTACTTTATTTCAATATTTCTATTCATAATTGTAAACTTTTAAATGTATACACATACCATTGATCACATTTTATTCTCTATCACTACTGATTATTTTCATTTAGTTGCGCCATAATGTCCTTTTTCTGTTTTGAGAAAAAAATAAGATTTAAAAAAAACATCTGTGAATTAAATAACATTCTCTATGAATCTAATTATTATTTAATTATATAATTTTATTTTTTATTCACTCAATTGTACTGTTTAAATTATACAAATTTAACTATGTAATCACCTCTGTATCTCTATGTGTAAATTTTTAATAATTCTGTTTGTTTTTTTTTGAAAATGATCGATTGTATTGGTTTGTGCCTTAAAAAGCTACCTGCCGTCAAATTGAAACAAAATAATGAACTACTCAATGTGTCAATATTTTCTTTTTCATCAGGAAAAATATTAACAAGAGATTAAACATACAGCATAAATTATGCTTTTTTTTACAATAAAAAAATACAAATTTGTCTTTACAATTTCGTTCATTTCTTATAATAAATACAACAGAATTGATTATCTGGTCTCTCTGTCTTATTATGTATTATAATGATATTTTATGCAATAATCTATTTATTCGATTGTTTACCGTTCAGTGCTTTATCATCATTCTCTATTCTTGTTGATTAATACTGATTATTTGTAATGATTTGATAAACGATGAAAAATTACATTTTTTCTTTCAAAAATATAATATTATCGTCGGATCCGAATGGTGCATAGAATTCAAGGACACTTCAGTACTTTTACAAAATGTCTTTTTAAACTTACCCTTTTAAATGATTTATAATATCCCTGCACAAACCCTGTTTCATTTCAGGTGTTAATAGAAAATATACAAAAGAGAAATATGTATATCATAATTGCTATTCTACTTTATATATACATATTAATCGAACTAAATTACGTCATAAAAACAAAATCAAACTAGCTCACACCAGTTAACCGGAGGAGAACTGAAGGACCTGATAGGTTGATTTCATAGGCGCTTAGCAATATTGTGTAGTTTGTTGGAGATTAAATTGATTGATATATAGTTGCTAGAATTTTAGAGTTAGACGTAATTCCATCTGTCTTGTCTTGATCCCTAGTCGTTTTTGATGGAATTTTGTGACAGCCACAAAAGAACCAGTTTTTACCAATTTATTACGGAAAATAATACCTTCTGATCATCAATGTCTATCTAGCCCTCATAAACAACTAACAACCGTTTTCAGTTCTGAAACTGTATTTACTAACCGAATATTCACTTTTCGTCATTTGTTAAAAGATAAGCATACTTGCGGACGTCCGGTTTTAGTTGTATTTTTTGACATTAAGAAGACATTTAATTCTTAATCGAGAGATTCCTTAGCAGCGTTTATCATTAAGTGGTATAACGAGGCAGTTGGTCAGCAGTCATAGTAAACAGTGTATCAGTAGCAGTCTAGTGAAAAGAATACGAGTGGGGTAAATCTAATTTATTTGAACACGAAATTACAGAATATCTCACTAAAATCTGAGAACCGTACAGTAAATAGTTAGTTTGCAAAATATCAATCAATTAACTATTCCTTTTGAAAATATCAGTCTATCGTCTCAGATTTCATTGTTCATGCGTTTTCATACCAATTGCTTTCCGTTCCCGTCATTCCCTTCTCGATCTTCTACTGAAATACATTCTATTACTGATCATGGTTATATACTATTTAGGTGGATATAAGTAGCTCCCACCACAGCAGTATTCAGCACTTAGTTTGAGTCACAACAACCACACCGGAATAAAAAGTCCAAGTTATTTGAAAGTTTTCTAAAGTGAAGGTCGACAAAACAACTTATCTATGTGTAATTTGAAAAACTCATAAATTCTGCCCATGAAACGAACCTCAAGTGTCACACTTTGGAAGAATATAAATTTGTGTATCGATTTTCTAACCAACCACTTACCGAGGTACAAAAGTCACCGTAAATCGAATAAAGGGACCCCACAATCGTTCGGGGGAAGGTATTAAGATCGAAATAAATGTATAATTCAATCACACATTAGATTATTGATGAACTACTAGTTTAATTCATTCAAATTTATTGATTTACTAATGAGTTCTGCTTCAATAAGTAGCAGGTAAAATTATTTTATAATCATAGCAAATAGCCGTATCATTAGGAGGAATTTGCATTTAGTTTAAGTCACAACCTTGACATATCCGTCTTGTTCCAAGATCTTACATTTTAATTGAAAATATCTAGATGTGTCATTTTACTAAATCATTTTTTTAGTTACTTTTATAAGTCTATAAGTTTGAACAAGGTATAACATCTGAACTATATTGAAGCCTAATTACTGTTTTGAATTGTTCGCTAAATTAATATCATATGTAAGATAATTTACTTAAAAGTCAATCATTATTTGAATACATACCAAAAAAGTGGTCATATTCTCTCTGGGAATAACTTGATTCACTATGTAAGTGTATTAGATGTATAGTTGAACTATTTATTTCATAAAAATTTATCATATGCTATTTAATTATCACATTGGTTCCTTGAAAATCTTGTTATTAATTTAATTTGGTTATTGAAACCTAAATCAACTTATTAAACAATAATCTTACCTGTAAAACTAATCAGTATGATGTGTTAATTTTTTTTACTGTATGTTAATTGAAGCTGAAAAATAAAAAATTACATTTTGAAATCAATTTATTTTTTGTAAAACTACTAAGAAACAGTTCGTTAAAATTGATGAATAATAAAAGCCATGGAATCATATGATTTAACAAAAATAGATAGTGATACAGAAAAAAATAATCAGTTTTTTTGGTCATTTATTCTTAAGTTATTTAATCATGGAGCTTTAGTGAATACAAAGTTTTATTATTGTCTCTTACCTGTTTATAGATAAAGGTGGTTGTTGGTAATGATAGAAATTTTATTCAATGTAGAGAATTTTATTCTCCTAAACATTCTATGCTATCTAGCTCTGATAAAATGCTCTACAGGTATATTTTAAATAAAGGAGATGACAGTTATACGAAACACGAAATGTTATTATTCAAATATTTCAATTTTAACTCTAGGCATACAATATTTATTTACCAAGTTTGGTTGAACTTTTAAAGTTCTCTGGTGTTTCTTTACTATATACTATTTTTTCAAAAAGTAATTTATTTGGCGGCAAATCATTCGTCATATTCAAAATGTCATTTATATACACTTTTGTCATTCCTGAACAGTCGATGGAAAGTAATACTTACGGCATCATGATTTTGAATAAAGTTATGGGTATCGTTCTAACGAAACAGAATTTATCTAAATTCTAACAAACTGAAAGGATAGCTAAATCAAACAGATTTATTGAAAATACACTTTACTGAGCTAAGAAGGTTGTATTTAGTAATTAATAATCTGCTTCAGAAAGCAAAAAACAGTTTTCATTAAATATCTGGACCTTTTTAATATAGAGCAGTTCTAATAAGAAAGGAGTAAAGTTTGTCAAGTCTGTAGAACACCAAAAAAAACTATACGGAGTACTGACTGTAGCAAATAATCGGTGAGATTAAAATTCTATAGCCTAATTGCAATCCTTCTACAGCAACTTAATTGTCTACACATTTCAAATAATGATCATGTACTTTAGGGTTTTAAATCCTTATTTTGACAAATGGCTTCATTAGATTATGTTTGAACTACATGGATCCCGTAGTTAATAAGATTCCTCAAACATTGTTATAAAATTCTTTCCTAGTAAATGACATAAAAGCTGGAATCTGTGTATAAGCTTATTTGTAAATAAAAAACAGACTATTTCTAAATAACTTCTGAATTTTAAATGATTCACTATAACATTTTTCCTCAAGATGCCTTTAGACTGATAAAAAACCATAGGTTTTTGTAATCACTTCGGTACATATAAACGGAACAAAAACAACATGGTTTACAGGATAAAATGAATTCAATTTATTTATTTACGGCTTCTTATCAGCTGCTAACAGCCTAAAATTACAAAGACCAATATAGTTATAAGCAAAGGTTTAAAATACACACATTGTGGTATAATCAAAACAATCATTGAGTCTTTTTGATAAGTAAAACTAAATTATGGGTCATAGTGGAATATAGGACACAAATTTCTCATTGGTACTCATCATCTGAATGTACCTGTATCCTAGCTTTAATTTATTCATATTGGTATACATTATACAACTTTATTAAAACTCATGACTAAATGGTACAATCGAGGTGATCTTATATGTATGCGTACATACCGATATAAAATGAATAATTGTATTTTTTAACAACAACAGTAGGAAAATACAAACCTTCACAAATAATTTCATATTTGTTGTGCTTTTATATTGAAAACGAACTATATTCTTACTGGCCTGTTTACATTCTATTAGGTATGTACACTATTTCAGAATATATATTCAAAATATAATCTAAAGTATTAAATAGTTTTTGCAAGAAAAACAAATAATATACAATATATAATGTAAGAAAATATTTATAATATTTTGTGTACACAATATTGAAAATAAGGTCACACTTTAAAAATAAACTAGATAGTAGCTTGTCAATAATTCTTAACACGTCAATATTTTAGCGAAACCATGTTTATTTCGAAAACAAAATTTATTTGTTTTTTTATAAACAAATGAAACTATATAAAATCAGAGACTAAACAACTTGATTTAGCTATAGTAATCTTTGTTTAACCAGGTCTGTTGTGAGATATCAACTCATAGAAGACAATGGTGTACGGTGGCGCAATTTCGTGGATTATTTGAAGTTAGACATTAACACCGTTCGATGCCGGCCAGCTCAGTGGTCCAGGGGTTAAGCGCTCGCACGGGAGACTGATAGGTTCTGAGTTCGAATCTCGTAGAGGGCGGGATCGTGGATGCACACTGCTGAGGAGTCCTATACTACTACGAAACGGCCGTCCAGTGCTTCCAGGTTTTCCATGGTGGTCTAGCTTCAATTGACTCATGATTTCAACTAGTGAAATTTATTATTTGATCAGGTTTTATTATAAGATTATGTATTCTCGTAAATAGTTCAATTGATTCTATACTTTTATTTCAGTTATATTTTAATCAGTGATAAGTTGCTTCAGATTTATTTTACGTTTTTATTATTCACTTATAAATGTTCAATTAGCATTTGGGAACAGATTTAGTTCAGATGTACACTTATGATGTTTAACTAATTCAACTAAGCAGAGAGGGAGAAAAGTAAATACTGTATAGTCAGCTTGTATTCTCTTAGATAGCTGATAATAATACTTGCAATTCATATATGTTTACAAGTAACTAGACTCATTCAGTTAACGATAACAATTCAGTGGTTAGATTTTATAAGTGAATAATCGACTTTCTTATATTAAGTTTTTGGTTTGGATCATGAACCGATTGGTGTTAGACTACTGTTGGAAACTTGGAAGCACTGGACGGCTGTTTCGTCCTATTGCGGGACTCAGCAGCGCTCATACACGATCCCGCTAACAGGATTCGAACCCAGGGCTTTCAGTCTCGTGCGCGAACGCTTAACCTTCTGGACCATTGATGTTAGTGTCTAACATCAATCAATCCACGAAATTTCTTTATTAGCTGGCTTACAGATTTCTTTAGACTTTAAAGTATCCTGTGATTTATCCGATTTGGTTTAGTTAGTATTTTTTTTCCATCATTAAAATGTCATTTATTTAAAGAATATATCACCAGTCCAAGTATCTAATTATTTGTGACTCCTTAACTAAAGTGAACATTAGTTATCATTGGTTCTAAAATTATTCCATATGAATATGAAAAGACAAAATGTTTACACTTGTTCACATAAATTATAGAAGTTCACTATGCTGACTTTAAGAATTATACAAAGTTTGCTAACTCTTCAAAATATGTCTTACTAGGAATTTGTATACTCATTTGAGAATTTGAAATATACCTATTAACACATTCTCATGAAAAACGTCTTTGTATTAGATCATATGGTTATTACCACTTTTCAAAATATCAGTTTCATTTCCTTTCTTTAAAAAAAAACAATTTCATACGCATAGTTCTCTTTATCACATTAAAGAGAGGAAGCACAAAAATTTGAGTAGGATAACATGAATCCGTTTTCTTTGGTAAGGTTATGATTAGCTTCTTACAATCTGTATCGTATTTAAAATATTCCTATTTACAAAATGTGATGAAAATATTGATAATGTGTATTCAAAACAACTTGTAACTAAACTCATTTATGTGAGCGTTTTTAAATCATTTCAATGTTTATTTTTACAAGTTTTTTACGTACATTGATTCAAGCTTTTATTGTTTTTATCACAACTAATCAATCTGTTATCACGTTATTAATTTACACTTGGCTATTAAGTCTAGTTATGTAATCTCTTTCGTTGTTATCACTGACTCATTTACTGCCTCAGTTTAATATTTTCCTTTATCCTTATATATATTACTGTGTAGAGTGAAAGCCGGTGAGGATCTAATTGAAAACAATGTTGTTCGTTGATATTTGTTGTTTTAACTTACAGTACAGCAGTTATTTATATACATATATATCCTAGAAAATAAAGTCACCAATGGCATATTCCCCAACCCTTAGAAATCTAAGCGTGATATGGCCACTCACATTCACTTGCCGTTTCGTTAATGTCTGATTAAGTCACTGTATACGTTTGACGTATTTTATGTTTATACAAACGTATAAAATAATTTTTTAAAGATCTCCAGCATATTAAAAAACTATTTGAACGACGAATATTCTTTTCGGTAAATTCTATTCTGGTTCTACAATTATATATCTATATTAATAATAAGGAAAATGGCCAGGTTTAAGGCAAAGAGCATCATGAATTTAGGAATAAAATTGTTAATGTTGATATGACTCATACAGAAAGTTAACTTGATTCAGCTTATATTTTCAGTGAAAATTTTAAGATCCATGATCAGAATAAATGTGGGTCAGATAGGGTGAGAGAAATAATAGTGCAATCACAATTCGATCAAATGTTCAATGGAAGACTATATTGTATAAAAAATTGGCAAGACATTGTAGTGGCTAGTCCTATATCGAGCCCACATAACTTATTCTAGTTTCTGAACAAACTAATGTATCCATTCTTTTCATCTTACATTTTGACTTTGTTAATTATTTGCTTATCAACCTTGACTGTTTTTATGTAAGCGTATGTGTGTACATTTCTTATCTTACTCATCACACGCCTTTAACTAATTAACGCTTGGTTAAATCGAGTTGGCTCACACGCCTTCAATGCACACCATTTCGCTCCGCTCTCCTCTTCGCTTCGTCCCTCTGATTGTCTGTCCGGATCAATGGGTGTACAAAATATACGTATTTAAACATCCATTCTCGTATTTAATTCAATTGTTCACTAACACGAGTTAAGTCGTTAATTCGATAATTATATGCAAGGATTGGCGATATGTATATTTCGACAGCAATCATTCAATAACAATTGTTCATACGATCGACCTGGAGTCAGAAACAGGGTCGCTAAAACATAATAGTTAGGATGAATGCAAAGTAAACGAATCAAGTATTGGGGAGATTAATAATGATGTTTAACAATAATGACAATAGTAATAATAATACTAAGATTTGTGAATAAAGATAACAAAGACAATTACATTTGACTACGAAAGATCGTAAGTACAGTAGTCAAATTAGGTCATTCCATAGCTAAGATTATTATTGATTAATTGGCCTTGAGGTTGATTAGGGAAGGAGAAGCGGCTGAAGATATTTCTTTTGTACGCATAGCTCAACTTTCTTAATCAGGATGGCTACTGTTTCGGCTGTTTGAACGACTTTAAGTCTGACAAGCTCTGGCAAAAAATTACTGAACTTATAAATAATTGAAAAAGATTGGTTTATGCTACCTCTTTGCCCGGTTTGCAATAAATGGGCCAATATCGAACTGTTCACTTTCTTCATCAAACGTTTGTTTAACCACACTAGGAAGTGTTCACGAGCACGAAGATGTAAATCCCTAAAACTTCGACCAATATAACTTGCTCCACAGAAGCAGTCAAACTGATAAATCCAAAATGAGATGGTCATTCTAGTTAATTCATCTTTTAGACTCAATGAGCGCGTATAAAATACTAATTATAGTTCTCCAGCGTTTGAAGATTTTTGGATTGTTCTGCATAATCTCTGAGTTAACATTTCGTTAGCCGCATCCACTCTGAATTGTAGGCGCACGAACAGGGATATCTTATTCACCGTTTGTATTTCGCCTATTTCCACCTTCGTGATCGTATATTTAATTATAAGCTTTATCGGGTATCCGTTCTCCCTAAGAGTATTACGTAAGATGTTTAACTCTTCTTTAACTATATCTCTAGAACATATAGGCGTATTCGGTAGCTAAAAGTTTTGATCAGGTTTTTTTGTACTGTAGAGGTACAAGGCTAAGGAATTAAATGCTGTCCTTGTGACTCTAGTGGTTAAGCTTTCGTTGTCAGACCTGAAGATCTTGGATTGGACTTCTGTTAAGGTCCTGGGTGTGTTTTAATGAGTCTCATACTATGTTAAGACAACTGTCCAGTGCTGTCTGGTTCTTAATGGTTCATTAAATGAGATCAATTTCTGACCGATACTGTCTATGACAGAAGGTTAGATTCTGCATAAACAAAAGCTATTGGCACAAACAATTAAACACTATTTATCATATACTTTATCGAAATAATTTAAAGTCTATCAAGATCTAATACAGTTGATTAGTGGCTAGCAGTATAATTCAAGTCGTCTGTTTCTTACAATTTAGGGGTCATCAGCTGAATGTATCCACTTTCGTGTTGATTTTCCCACTGTGACTAACGCCCTATGTCTTTCTCTTTAAACGCTCGTCGTATTATAAAAGTACTCACATTTTTCCTGATTAATTAATTGTTACTTGTACTGTATATTTATGTTCTCAATGTAAATTACACGGTAACTCCGTTGTAGAAATAGATTAGTTACTAAGATTTTTGGAAAACACTATTTTGTGAAATTTCTACTTATAGTTCATTTTTAAGAAAAGATCAAACTCTCGATATACAATTATTTATAAAAGACGTATAAAAACAAGTGTTTATTAACTGTACACTGGTGTTGTTCATTTTAACGATCATTCATATGTAAAAACAGTAGATTATTGACAGTTTAAGATGAATTAAAAAGTAACGGTTGTTTCTCCACATTTTCCTCAATCTAGAAACTTAAAGCTAAATTTCTCAATATGAGATACAAAAGTTCAGCTACTGACTTTAGTGAAACATGAATTTTTTCATTAATTCGATATTCGGTAGGAAAATATGTAGTTTTGCTACAGCTATGTATGAAATTCTCAATAAATTAACTACACATTTAATTTCATTTAATTACCTAACTTAGAGTTGGAAAATAGTTTAGAAATCAAACTAAAGAATCCTAATCAGTGGAATCCCTGTGGAAAATACTTCACCATTTTCATCGTAATCTTTGAGGAATAATAAATGATTACTTAAATTAACAAAGACAAAGCCTAACGTTTAGAGTTTATTTATGCCTTGCTGAGGCCCAAAAGTAGAGTGAAGAGAATAAACGAAATAGTTTTCATAATTACAAAACGACATACGGATTACATCTCAAAAATATAGAAATAAATAAATATGCAATCTTTTTGTAAACATAATATAAAGAATTCAAAATATATCTGCATTAGATCTGTTTATCATACAACAATCATCAATTTTCGATCAAATGTAGACAATAATATGGTTGATTAAATCAAAGTACATGCTCCAATCACATGTATAAACAAATGCTAATACACGAGTTAAATGTATTGTTATGTTTAAGGTGAGATAATGTATCAATAAAAGAAATAAAAAATATTACAATTATATATATATATATAAAGATATTATAGGTAGGCAGATATAAGAAATACTTACACTTTCAGACAAATGATAAACAACAAAATGTTGACTTTTGTTAGTTTATATAATTATCACTGGATATGAAGAAAAAAAGACGACATGAAAAAAGAACATCACTTTCATTGGATATTACAAATGCATCACGCAGTTTAGAAGGCATCATGCATTTCTTTTAAATGACGAATACTGTAATCGTAAGGCAGAGAGAATTCAAGATCCTTTAGTTTAACTAATGACTGTAGAGTATCGTTGAATCCTATTTACATGAGAAATAAAACAGGATATTAGATAAACGACAATAAAGGAAAATTCTTTCTTTATTGAATTATTTTTTATTCTGATTTATTTACAGCAATAGTTATTCAGTTCGGAATAGCTGATTTCATTAAATAATGTTGGTTTACAATGTTAGTTAAATCTTATCTGTTTGGCCAAACACCATCTAGTTTCATATGGTTCCCAATTAACTGAATTTTGTTTTGTAAAGTAATCTAAAATTTTTTGATTCTAAAAATGTTATTGAAACTGAGTCAACTACTTAGACGTTGTTAGTATTTAAGTTGAATCCAATCATTGACAAAACAATTAACATTATCCTTGAATGAGTATATTTTTAGGTAAAGACTGTCATAAACAATTTACTGACTTGCTCAATACCGTAAACACTTGTCTTATAACTCCCTAGTCCTTGTCATTTTTCGTGTCTTACTGATTATCCTTAAAAAATGGGGACCACTGTAATTACTACTATGAGAAGTCAGAGTAAAAGACTAATCCAAATGAAGGATTATTGACTAACCAAAGGATAAGTAGTCAAAACACGTGATCTAAAACGATTGTCATTAAACTGAAATACACTCATTTATATGCCGATTTTTATGCATACAAAAATAGTAAGCATTAGAAAAAAATATAGTTACTTTAAAACATACACTGAATTTAGTTCACCTGAAATGATACAAGTAATATAAATGTCGCACTGAACGAAAATTCATACGTATTATATATTGAATGAAGTTCATATGGAATTGATACAAAAAAAATATTAACCTAAAACTTCGTCACTTTTTTATCTTGTCATATCGATTTGTATATTTAGCCATTTGATGATAAAGAAATTATATCGGAAAACTTTTCATTTAAAAATAAGGAAACGAACACAACGGAGTCAGTAAAATTAAAGAGATAAAATGAAAAATATGTAACGGAGAAAATTTACACTTTGATTTTCATATTTTGTTAACTAAAGGATTTAAACAAATTGAGTTTTATGAAGTCATCTATTGATGTGATATTGTAATTGACCAAATTAAAATCAAAATAAAATAGATGGTAAGTCAACCTTAGATATTTATTTTCAATGTTTTGTGGTCAAGTGGTGTTGTCACGCATAAATCTAAAAAGGAGAGATTGCCTGACACAGAATTGTATTATCATAGCTAAAATGTATTTACAAAACATTGATGGATTTATTCTATAATAAATAATATTTTACACACGATAACAAGTTCTTTCTTGCATCGAATGCACCATTTGACCAAAAGATAATGCATATAACTGTGTAGACAAACCTTTACGAGTGAATTTAAGTAATAACCACATAAATATTTCTTTGACTTTTATCTAAAGTCTAACAATCGCAAAAAAATTAGATTTTATGTGGAGAACATTGAACGGATTAAATGTTATACTTAGAGCCTTTGATTTTGGTTTGATCTTAAAATAAGAGAAAAGAAAGAGTTGACATAACTCAACAACTAAGTGACGAATTTTATCCAGCAATTACAGATCAATACACAAACAACATACACTTCATTAACAGAACACTTAATTTTATGAAACATATACAAAGAAAAGTTTTGATACTTACAAGACTATATTCTCGTGTCTAGATATCTCGGGGCTATTAGAAGAAGAACAATAAATGCTATTACTTCAACCACTAAGGGAATGGTGTTCCTCCCACTCTAACATGGGCCTATGCCATCTAATAGTATAGCCTGAGATGCAATATTTTATTTGCATTTATCTTATAATAGACTCTAGCTTTAAAGATTTCTATGAGATCAGTAGAATTATTCTTTCCTTCAGATACATGATGTATTAAAGCTGATAAATTGGTGATTTTTAACTAGCTTTTAGCAAAGGACATTCTATTATTTTAATAATGAAGTCACTGATTGTGGACACATATTCTATCTATGTATTATAAACTAAATTTCTCGCCGTACTTGAAAAGATTAGTTTGGAATATCATAGGGCATTAATATACCCACGTGAACATCATTGAGACTGGTAGCATCTACATCTTATTTTAGTATTCACTGACATAATTGATTAATATATAAACGTATTACCAGCATTTCTGTTTACTCAACAGAAAACGTTTAGTGAAAGGTTATATATATATGTATATGTATATGATTTGTCAGTTTTTATGTTATTTGGTTTACCATTTATAGTCTTTTTGACTATGTATAGTGTTGTAAGTTTAGATACAATTTAAAAATAAATGACCTGAAATGGAATTTAAAAATGTATAGTGAAATACAATCACCTATTTATGGATAAAATGAGGGTAACTATATATTGGACGATGATAAAAGAGAATAGTCATTCAGGAATTTTTAATATATTCCAGCTTATGAGTAGAATAATGACGGGAAACATAAAGTTACCATGATAAAGTTTAGTACCACAGTTTTACCGATCTTTCATATAGTGTGTAACCGGTCAAAGACCACCAAGAAAATAAATGAATATATTTGTAAGGATACGTTGTTTTATTTAGTAGACTTCTTATTCATAATCATTGGTTCTGATGAAACCAATCACTGAAATAGTGGCAATGGTTCAGTGGCTACCACGATAGTTCCCCTAAGAATGTACCAATTTTCAACTCTTAAAGAAATGTTTCGGTGTTATCTGTTTGCTTAAAGACAAAAATTTCTAATAGTTTTAAAACATAGTTTGGATAAAATGGCGAGTTGAACAACAGGGAAAGCTTTGAACAAAAGAAAAACTGGTCTCTGTATCATAAGACTAATCGAAAAACCTACTTCAGTAAACAAAAGACAGTCGTCCTAGCTCAATAATCTGCTTGATACGAAGTTCAGAGTAGATGGAACGAATCCATTCACTATAATTCTGGCTTTTAATAAAAATTCTCGAAATCCACTGTAAGGAGATCTGATTTTCGTATTTAGAAATATTATTAACTAACGTCCAAATCCATTGATAACAGAAGTGAGCAATGTAATAACCGAACGTTTTAATCTTTCTCATCTTTAATTCTTCATTTAATCGTAGCCACAACCCAGTGAGAATAACTAAATGTCTTTCTCTTTTTAAACCTCCTGGATTTTTGTGGTACTGAATGGTAAAACTATCCTAAATATTCTAGAGCTGTAAATCCAATTCAAGCCAATTCATTGTATACCGCAAACATTATCATTCTCAGTTTGTTTAAACTCCATGAAATCTAGGCGTTGTTGCTACTCTTTAGAAATCTATTTTTCTACTTGTTAAAATATTATATATATAACATTTCCATTAATCTATTTGAAGTCTAATTTTAGTGATGAAATTCCTAAATTTTGATCGAAAGTATTTCATAATAAGGGAACTATTAATTACAACGTTTATAAAAATAAAATAACAATTAAAAAACTCGGTTACCTGTACTCAAAGTATAACTCCATGGTTCATATATAGATTGAACAAAAACATGATTTCGGAAGATCATTCTTAGCCAAGGGACCAATTTTCCTTCACTTAAGGTAAATAAAACAGGTTCTATATAATATAAGAACAAATATTTTACAATGATATTCAAACAAATTTATGGAAAATCCAGAATTTGACATTGGCCCTCTATGCCATAACAGACTTAGATGAGTAGTGATCGGTGGATTAACTAAGTTGAACGTGATTTGACTGCTAAAATTAATGATATTATGATGAGTTTCAGTGAATATTACTACCATAAATTACTGATCATTAGGAAAAAGGTAAGGAAGATAATTAGTGAAAACCAACTAAAAATAAATCTGCATTTGCTTCTATATATCAGCTAAATGTATGACTAACTACTAATGGAATAGATGTTGGTCCTTAATGATCGTTTATCTAGGCTTTAGAAGTCTCCTGATATATCGTAATTTCGGTGGACGTCAACAAGATGGATAGTACGGCATATCAATATTTCAATATAAGCGTTTCATATTCCATGAATAGATCGTGTTGTCATATACATGTGCTCAATATGTGGTGGCCTCACAGCTGAAAACGATCCTTGATGTCAAAAAACTGGTTGAACTGTTTAAAAGCGTATAGCCAGGTGAGAGTTTTCCAGTATACAAAAACATGAAGCTTTTGTGTCGGGCTCTTATCAACTACTCGCAATTTGTAAGATTTAAAAACTAAGTTACAAAGCAAGTCAAAAATATTTACAGAAAGAAATCTGGTTGGATATATGTTTATATGAACTACCTAACAAGTTTTTAACTCACTTTATAGTTTTGGTAGGGAGATATTATAGGTCATTTGAAGTGAATGAACTTAATAACATGAAATGAATCAATTTTATTTAGCTTAATTTATGTTCGCTCTTTTCAGTGTAACAGAGGCAACTACGTGTACACTTTCCATGCCAAATAGTTCCATGACCTTTGGTATTATAGTAATAATATAACATTTCTACCCGATTAACACTTATTATAGGCCTTACATAGTTCTCGTTTGTTCGTTTATCTGTAACCTAACACAAAGTTGAAAAAAATATTGGGTCTTCTTGAAGAGTGTATAAATAGTGTTGGTGTGGTTAATTAAGTATTGAATATGATTGAATGGTCTTTCTGGTTAAGTACATCGGTGTTTTAACTGTGACTGGGCGATATTTTTGTCTATTCGGAATGAAAGGAATTATTTATGCAAACTAACTGACCTATTATTAATGGAGAGAATAAGTTTATTTGTCTGTGAGGATCCGTAGCTTGAATATTTCAACAAGATAATGCCAACATGTGTGGGCAATTATTTCGACTTGCTTGCGTACTCAAAAATGTATCTAAATATAGTTGATATTAGCCCACAACTTGATATGAATTACCGATTTTACATCTCATCTGTTTGCTCATAGTTTACGCAAATTAATCACATTATATTTTGTTTGGGTACTTTTAGCCATTCTATTTGAGAGATAGCAAATATCCAAAACGATTTGTGTTGTCAATCGATTCAACGATATTGTGTAGTGATTTTACACTTATTCCAGTTGACGATTTACAACTAAACAATAGGAAATGAGCTTGATACTTTTTTATGAAGACTAAATGATAAAGGGTTCCGACTGAACAATACTATACACAAATAATAAAAACGATTAAGAGAGCAAATCAGTTTGACTAATCTTACTAAGTTTAGTTAGTATTCACTACTATATATATATATATATATATATATATATATATATATATATATATATATATATATATATATATATTTATAATTGATACTTGGTCACAGGGAAGATTAACTATACTGTTAAACTTTTCTAAAGAAATAATTAATGACGTATGTACAGTACTTACTGCAAAGTATTTCTCTTCATACTATAAACTAATTGAAAATGAAATTATTAGAAATGAATTTTTCCGACTTTATAATTGACAAATAAATTGAATTATTAGAACAAAGTATTATGACAGTGTACTATATTAACGACCTTGAGGGAACTTAACAGATAATAAAGAGACGCTGCCTAGTTGTCAAACGACTAAAAAAGATGTGAATGAAGTGGATGGTTAGTATTTGATAGGATTACACTTCTCAGGAGTTTGGAAGATTTTAAATGTCTATCCACAAGCTTATTCATAGTGACCTCAAAAGACTCATTAAACACCCTGCTAACCGCCTTCAGCACTCTCCGCAATACAGCAAAGTTTTTTCTCAAAAGCCCAGGAAAGAATAATTGGGAGCAGCAAAGAATAATAGGTAACAAGCAAGAATTGACAAATTGTGGGAGTAAATGTCGAGTAATCCCAAAAACATGCAGCCTCTTTGTGTAGTAAGTCAGACAGAAAACGTTCTTCGATAGTAAAAAACACGAGAAGACAAAGAGAGATCAGAGGAAATAATTACTCTAAGGTAAATGACTGTTGACATTGTGTTTATCAAGGAATCTCTAATGACACAAGCCTTATGGGATCCCAACAGGGTGTTTAGGTACATTTTATGTCTCAGGCCAAAGTTAACGGTTTGACATTTAGACGGGTTAAGTGTGAAACTACTCACAATAGAACACCATTCAATAAGAGATATGAGACATCCATTTCAAGGGGATATGAAGAGGTAGAAATAGGTGTACATACAATAAGACCATCCGCATGCTTGATAAAAGTGTTTTCAGTGGAAGTTGGCACATCATACAGGAAAAAATGAAGGACGAAAAGGGAAAAGAACAGCATCTTGTGTCACACCTTCTTGACTTAATAAAGACTTTGAACACTCCTCCAAAAGCTGTGTACTGTTCTCCTACAGAGAGGAAAGAACTCATCCAGTTTATTATCCAGCTGTCGGTGTTGAGATTGACAAACTTGTTAAGTAGTAGCAGTCTTGGAATAGAATCAAAGGCAGAAGTACAATCTAGAAAGACCCAACGAATATACTTCTTAACCTTTTCCAAGCTGAACACTGCATTATGATGCAGGACAACAGAATCTAAGGTACTTATTTTGCACTCACAAGGAAACTGATATGGATCAATATGCTATTTGAATGCAGGTTGAGATTAGAGTAGCAATTGTTCTTCCACAGTTTTGAGAAGAGGTGAAGCTAATGCTACGGGTCTATATTTTAAATTCTTATCGCTAGATATTTTATTTGGTGTTGCGATTATCTCTAGCTTTCTCTGTATTTTCGGTGGAAAATTAGTTAGGGAGGATTCGTTAAACGTGCTTGTGAATGAATGGCACAGAAAGTCAACACACCTCTTAAAGAGAAGGTTTGAGATTTCGTCAGGTCATAAACATCGAGACGAGTAAAGTAATTGTGGACATTTTCGAACATCAGTTTCAGTGAAAATTGAAAACAACTCTTATTGAAACTTATGAATATAGGAAGTATGACATCAGATGACTGTTGTACAAAAGACCTATTTAAGTCACAAATATTCAGGTGAATATCATTAGTAGTGAGTCTCCCGCCTGTCATCTTTTTTAATGGTTTCCGCATATTTGAAGAGTTTTTGCAGTATAGGAGTTTCTGGGTAAATATCGCATTCAAATGTTTAACTTCTCGGTTTATTAGACCATTTAGCTTTCGAAGTACAGCGGAATTCCTTCCTTGTAGATTCTTTCTTTCCCTCTCCGTAATCCGTAATCGTTTTAGTTGTGGGGATGTAAGTCTATCAAAACTTACAAAAATATTTTCACTAAGACAACAAACATCAAAGTAGAATTTGAGATAAAAAGTGACACCAACGGTGTTTTCCGATTAGTCATTTGTAAATAATTACAGTTTATCATACGAAACATGTTTTTCAGATCTTGAAAATTATCTTCTGAGTAATTCCTGTATTTAACTTTATCAGATATGAGTATGCTTTTTCCAAGCTTGTTATATACTTTAGGTGGAGCACGAATAATGCAATGATCAGAGTTAAACAATAGGACATGTTAAGAGTCATATATATATTTCTACATCATCAATAAAAACCTAGCCTAAATCAGCAACTACATTTTGGTGATCTAGTGATGAAAGAAAGCTACAACCGGATGAATTAAAACCACCACATATAGTTGAAAGTGAACCACTGAAGGCAGTTACAACAAATTTGATGGATAAATCAATAAAAACAGATAGTGTAGACGATCTGAAGTAAGGAGTCATGTAAATATTGGTAACATAAACATAATTTTATTTGTTCTAGTGTTTTGGATGGTATGTAAAGGTCAAACTGTAAATAAAGCCATTCGAAAACTTAACATATGCGAAATTATATCGGCACAGGTTCAAATTTACAAATGTACCTTTACCACCATCACACCTTTTCTGATGGCTTGGTTGATCCTGATGATAAATATTGTAAACCTTCAGTGATACATTTACTGTACAACTAAGTATTTTATGTTGTGTTTAAATCTGTTGTAATACAATTTTATACCGCCTGCCTCGAAGTTGAGTTTTTACTTTTGTCTTATAGAAGTTCTGGATTTATTGGAATCAGTATTATTTCATTACATAACTTGAAATTAACAAATATTAATCATTTAACCAGGATTCTTGAGTTGCGATTACACCATAATTAGGATACTTGTTTAAACTTAGTGAGAATTGAAAATAGTTCACCTAGCCAATTAGTGAACGGTAGTTTGAAGTTAGTAATTCAGGAACCGACATCTTACAAACGTTCATTCTTTTTAATATATATTGCCAGAGTCCACGCCTCTGAATGTAATTTTTCGTACCTTGTAAAGTGATTGGTCGTGAACGTTTTATATACGCGTCTTGATGGGCTGTGTGATTGAAAGACGTACGGGGTGTGTTAAAAATAACAAAGAAGATAACTTTTGAAATATCTAGATGGTAGAAATAGGTACTCCAGATATTCAAGCACATCAAGTAATTAATATAATCCTTCTTAGATGCTTTAATGACCATTAAGGTAGTTGAGTTCTTAAACGGAAAGATAAACTCTTGTTATAATCATTACATTACACTGTTTGAAAAGTTACAACGCCTGGTCAATAGAAATGATTGTATTCCATAAATTATAGTTATTTGGGGCTTATCTTTAGTTATTTTCTGTCGCTGATTAGTAATTGTCATGAAATAAATTATAGATTTTTGTACAGAAAAGCCATGAACAACGGATCAAGGCAGGACATTTTCGCTTATCCACTTTCATTACATGAGCTGGTTAATTCTACTCCATATCATCAGTTAGTGTAAAATCCATTTGCATTACCAAGATTTAACCAGTATTCAATTTTCTCAATATTTTTGGCTTTATAATTGAGTTTAAATATAAAATGGCTTGCAGAATTTGATTGTTGGTTGGTTGGAAATGGTTTGTGTAGACAGTCTTTTGTCAAACAGCGAAAAAACAATCTCTTTGATAACCGACTGAATAACAAGAATTTATATCATCATAATTGATGATAATGAATAAATTAATTTCATAAAAATACTCAGTTGAAATCCAGATTATCTTAGAACAGAAAATACTGATAACTATTGTCGACCAGTATTTTAGAAGTTTGTGAGAATTTACAACCAAATGAAAAATAATATTCATGTCTTAAAATTAGAAATGATGGAAGATAAATTTTTCTGAATAGATTATGTATATAATAGTATGAGTCGGTCATAGACAGCAAAGAACGTGTTACAAATAAACGTCAATCAAAAACGGTTATGGAAAGTGTTCCGACACGTATTATTGAAACTTTTTAAAAAGACTTCTAAGTAAATATACTTACTTGAGTGCAATACTAATGAATGCTTTGAACTTGGCATCTTTACTGCGCTTGTATGCCACGTGACCCTGAAGAACATTACCCATTGCACTGAAAAATTTCTAAAGTAAACCACAATAACCAAACATGACCTGCTAAATTTTGACTACTTGAAATTAAATGTTTAAAGAACAATTAATATTTAATAAAATATACATATTTATTCTTTAATAATTTTTATTAAATATTATTTAGCTGTATAGTTAAGAAGTGGGACAATCAGTAAACTTATTCAATGCATAATTATATTGCAAAAAATTGTCGATTGATTAACTGAAATAAATAAAGTCATTGAATTTTAAACTATTAACTTCTTCTAATTACCACATGTCATCGAAAAGACTCTACCACAATGTTGTTTCATCTAGCTTAGTAGCTATAAAATAAACGTTTTTAGTAGAACTCTCCAAACATTAAGGTACGTACACTAATCCAACTGACCAATTATAGGGTTTAATAATACAAACAAATGTACATACGATTTTACACGTCCCCAAGTAAATAATTTCAATCTTTCTAAATTCATAAATGTCTGTTGAGTGTTGGACATCTAACTGAACAATAGATTAGCCTTGATATAAACAATTTTGATGAGAAATTCTGTGTTCAAAATTTAACTGTGTTAATGACTATGTGCGAATATTGTTTTATTGACTTGAAGTTCTTACATTTGACATTTGTTGTTGAAGGTGTTCTATAGAACGTTATTCACCACGAATTCCTCCTTGATAATGCTTATTGATTAATTATTAGTTGCAACTTCAAATACATACATAATTTCAATGAGATTATAATTAGTACAGTGAAAATTTAATATCAATACATTTTTTAAGAAGTTACTAAATAAGCGTAAATTTTTGTGTACAATGTCTTCTAACACTCCATCATGTTATCTTACTTGTTATCCACTCTACATAAATCGACTTGTGGCCTTCGATTATCACTGAAGTCTTGAAAAACATTGTATTAATTGTAGTTTTTTTACTTTGTAAGATTGGTTTCTTATTTTTGTTGCGTGAGAATAGTTATAATATTAATTTTAAATATTTGTTTAATAGTATTACATATACAGTGCAACGGAATATCTATTTGATATATCCTATGCTAATTGTATCTACTTTAATTTTATTCAGTTCCTCTAAAGATAAACCAATTAGACAACCGTCTTTTTTCACAAAACATACTTCATTTATTCATATAGTCATGCATTTTTTGCATACATAATAGACTAAACTACTAAATTACAATAATTAATCTGGTTAGATGAATAAATCATCGATACAAGGATTAGTGAATCAGTTATTTGTGTATATTTGGTTTTCTATCAATAAATTACATAAATTTAATCTGGAGTGTAGCAATACAGTTTAAGAGAGTAAAAGATGTTAAAATGAAATATAAAAACCTGTTTATGAACGACTCGATGTTTATATATATAGAAGCCAGCTAAAGTAGACCGTATTTACTGTTAAATAATGTATCATATATATTATATAATAAATATATATACAAGTAAAAGTAGATATAAGTAACCATACAAGTAGATTTCATTGCCCATCTTGAAAACTTTAAACAAACAAAAATACAGTTGATTTATAATTTACTAACCTTGACTGTCAGTAGAGGAAAAACACTACGATAATTTTAAGTATTTTCACACATTCAAAACACTCTACGCGTAAACGTTTGAGTTGTTGATCGAGATTTTCCACTAACTGATTTAGTCATGAGACTAAACTATTTATTACTTATAAATGATTTGACCACTTTCATGGAAAAAAGGGTCAAACAAATTTAGAATATGAAAGACTAATTCATCGAGATCAAAGATAAATCATCTGATTTACGAAAGTCAAACTGATACTTTCGTCTTCTGTGCTGATAGAATTGAAGAGAACAAAGAATGCGGAAAGACACTTAGATAGGACACATAAAAATGAATAATAATGCTAACAACGTTAGTTATTTTGCTGACAGATAGTCAAAGAACCTTATTCAAGGTTTATTATTAGCAGATTTTTAATCAGAAAAAGTATCTGAATCTCTAGAAATCTACCACCACATTATTATTGACATTTTTAGTGCACAATTTACTATGTGTAGTAAATTAGTATTTCCAATGGTAGGCAAGTATAAAATACACTAGACATTGATTCTAACGATTGATCACGATATTTATGCTGTAAAATGTTGTTTTGCAATAAACAAAAGGTATTAATTAAATATTATTTTAAAATACTTCTTACAGATCTGATTTTTTCAGAAAAAAACACCTCTTTTTTCCCAAAACTCCTTTATTTAGCTTATGATTCGAAAAGATTAAACATTTGCATTAGCTAGTTACCTGACGATTTGTGATTGTTTTACCATCAACTGTATCTAAATCAAAACTTTCACAAAGTTTTCTCGCCGGAGACTCATTATACCGTGGACCATTCTAAAACAGAACAGATTTAATTCAATATAAATCAATACATAATAGATTATAATTATGACATTCAGGTATTTGTAGTCGATTGAATTGGATTGAAAATGTTACAAGTGTAGGTAGAGACATTATTCTATGGTGATAAACTCTGCTATTTGACAAATTTTAACTTTACGTTATATGTTTAAATAAAGTGGACAGTTATCAAGAATTATTTTGACATTTCTTACCTTCTAAACGGTTTATTAATTAGATAACCATATTTCTTTTTTTCTGAAAATTTGTTATTCTTTTCCGGTTTTAGATTATTCATTGTGTTTGTTAGTTGTTACCTTGACCTATAGCTAAGACAGTCATTTGACTAAATAGAAAATTTCATATAGTTATAACTTTTTCTAATCAAGAAATATTTTTTTGATGTGATGATTTCTCTAAACGTGCCTAGTTAATGGATCGAAACTGTAAGGAATTCATTCTAATTTCATCCAAAAATTTTCAATATCACTTCTATAATTCCAAGTGGATTATAGTAATCTGATAAATATCCACTAGATACCTGTGAGTATATTGTTTTTCAAAACAGTTCTAGGATACTAAAGAAAAAGCCTCTGAAAGAATATCGTGCTCTTTAAGAAACTCCACAAAACCATGAGGTAGATAATCTTATTGATGCATGCAACAGTCGAATAAGGTGAGTATAGTTTCTGTAACTTCATTTTTCATACAAATTTCTTTATGAAATTAGTAACAGAAAAGATATTGAATGAATCGATGAAAAACAGCCGTGAATAAATTTCTAGCTACTTATTACGTCTAGAGTCGAATTATTCTATTAGTCAGAAAACATAACTTTAATAATTCCAAACAAAAATAAAATGCAAGCATTTCTTAAAATTATAATTTATAGTAAAATAACAGAATTAATGCATGAAAATTATATTTGAAATAATCATAGTGATTAAAATTTAAATAATCCCAACGTTTCGTCCAGAAAACTTGTCTGAACTTCTCACTCTGAAGAAGTCCAGACATAGAATTAGGCTGAAAGAAGTTTCAACAGGATTTTGAGTGTTATCAATTCACGTTGCAAAAATAACTCAAATTGACGAAGCTACTTAAATAGTAAAAAAGGTAGTCTACAACTATACTTTAATAATATGAGTGACTGAACGACATTTAATTATGTCTCATTGACTACTCCTGAATTCTATAGGCATGTTTGCAATGAAAACCTAGTAGTTAACTCTGTTCGCTAAGACATATTAATCAAACAGTTATCTTTTTTCATTAAAATTTATTCTGGACAGAACCAAATAAAAATAAGTACACTAAAATTTAATCGAACCATGAACCTGTCAGTAAACTGAAATAACATAGAGATCAAGTGAATCAAGACACAAACGTGTTCCTGAGACACAAATATTCAGTATTTTATTAGCTCAGACTTAAAGTCTATGTGAATATTTAGACATAAACTATCTTAAATATGGAATTTAAATGTGAAAATATTGGACTCCAGTCTGATTTCACTAACCTTAATTTGATAAAAACGCATTAATACATCCCACGCATGGGTTCCTATGTAATTAGAACGGGACCCCGAAAAAGATTTTGCATCAATGTAATCACTTGATGGATCGTTCAAATCTAAACATTCAAATTTATCTTCTGAATGATTTCTTGATCTTGAGTCTAAACAGTTCAGGATAGGACGAAGCAGTAAAATGCTTCGTTTATTTGCTAAGCCCAAAGGTGAATTTTCATCAATTTTCTGTAAAGCTTTCTTTATAAGACCATGTTCGATAAGATCACGTAAAGCGGGACAGAGGTATCGACGTACAACATGCACCACAGAGCGTTCAGCTTCAGTATACAGAAGCTTGAGTACAGTTAATAAAAAAAATGCAAATAGTAAAATAATTTTCCATGTAATATTATAAATCATAAAGTAATATAATAAAAAACCTTCAAACAATATCTAGAATTGCGATTCCATCTAAAAAAACAGTAGTGTTAGCCTTAATCTAACCTACAGTAATATGCTAGAGGACATAAGCATTTGATCTGTGGTTCAATTATTGTTCATTTATGATCGTATGAAAATATAGAATACATACAGAGTTGAAAGCACAATGAAAAATATCAGATATGATAGAAGTTAACAAAATTTGTTCACCAGTTAAATTAAACATGATTTACATCAATAAAGGAATATAAAATAGTAAGAGAAAAAGCTAAACTACTTTTTCAATACATTTTATTTGTTTGTACGTTAGTTGTCATTAGATTTATGCAATAATCTGTGTTTTAAAATATGACAAGTTAGAATACTCATGTTTAAAAGCAATAAGAGATCAAGTTATACATAATTTTTATAAAGTTATATAAAGTGAGAACTATTCGGTCGTTGTAAAATTAATATTTTATTTTTAATGTAAAATAAATTTAATAAAATATTTACCACTTTAGAATAATAATTAAAAATTTACACCATGCAGTGGAACTGACATCAAATCATTTACTGAAAACGTTTATCAGCGTAGCACATATATACGCACACACTTAAGTTAGCTCAATCTTTAATTCAAATGACTGAATGACAGAGTAAGACTGATTCACAAACAAAATGTGATTGAGTAACAAAAATATTTCGAATGACTATGAACAGTTTTTGAAAAATACTTTTTGAATTCCTTCAGTATATTAGGCTGTTTACATGAGCACCGTCACCCAGATGATGGTAGTTTACACAATAAAATTAGAATTACAGTACCGTTGACCTGCGTCCAGCTGCTTGTATTCCTCCTATAAACAATTAGCAATAATTCTAGAAATGCCTAATATTGAGTATCAAATTTTCAGGTTTAGCATGTCCATGCAACGTAATATGATAACCACTTATTCTTTAATACTATAACCCTTCAGTTATATTACCAATCCTTCAGACTATTATATTCAATAAAGAACGAGGAAAAGTATTAAGATTGAGAATAACGTACGTCACAGTAAATCATGAGTGTAATTTTGGTGGTATGTTTGGAAATTTGAGTAGTCTAACTTAATCAAACGCTATACAATAAGAACAAGTGGGACGCTATTACCTGTAATGAGGTTATGACTCTCTGTTATACCTATAAAAGTGAATCATAGGTTCATCAGGTGAAGTTCCTGTACCATGTTGGTCGAACCATATGTATCACCTCTATATACGTCCATCGTTTTATCTGTGTAGTTCGATAGATTTCGCGTATGGATTAAGGATGTACTGCGCATAATGTGACAATGATGAAAATGATATCCATTAAAGTACTGCTTCTCCCAGTTTGTATGAACTAATCACTTATCTCAAGTATATGAGTGATTAAGATGGTCTTCTGTTGACCATTCATAAGAGGTTCGAGAGTCCTTGTACTTGCTTGTAGTGAAAGACTTATGTTTATCGTACAACTGTGACTTAGAGCTCATTCCAAAGATGTTTCACTTGCACGCAGCCCATTATATCTCCTACTTCTACTACAATACCGACAAATAGGGTCTCAACTAAATAAGCATAACATGTAGTCTGTAAACTATATTATATCTGCCTTTTGCTGGATTTGATTAGCATAAAATGCTTAATATGCTACTGATCACTGAACTATAGCTAGTGAAAGGGTATATAAAAGTGCATAACTAAATTTTGAACCGTTTAAGAAAATTCCAGTAATTCTAGATAATTAAGACCAACTGTAATTTAATGTTTGTGAGAAAATGTGTAAATTTTATCACAGTATATCAAAGACAATCATGATATCTAACGCTATAATTCAAGTATCGTAAATAAAGCCTCAAATTCTAATAGTGCAGCATTGCTACATAACATGTTAACAGACATAAAAAAACTTAACCCGGTGTTATATCCCTAGTATGGCATAAAATATAACATCTGTGGTGGTCGGTGTTCGATATATTCCTTAAACTCCGTATACAGTTCGTCTCGGTAACCGTCACCAAATAATGCTCCAACGGTATATTAATCAGAAGGCGAATACGAAGCGTTAATTACGTTTATTAAGGGACCACACACAGATATCCAAAATTACAGATGCGTTAAGCAAGCATGAAATAGTTGTGCCGAAAGGCAAACAGGCAAGCGAGCGGACGAGAGAGAGCAAGGGCAAGAGCGAGCGATCGAGCGAGTGAATGAACGAGCGAACGAGTCATGAATATGAATAACATGGACATATATATACATAGTGAAATTAATGAATCATCGAGTCAATTAAGCGGTTAATAGTAAAGCTAGTAGCGTGAATAAATGCGTAGGCAGTAAGGCTTGCCGAGCATACATATTCATACAAGGATAACAATAATAAAGGTACATACATTCGCAACAGTAATAAGGATACAATAAGTTATTATAGTGCAGGTGACTTTGTCCGTTTAATAAGTTAATAAAAGGGCTTAACCGAATTAGGTGAGAGCAAACTCAATTGAATGTGAGTTGCTATACATCGTGTATATTTCACTAGTTCACTAGTTTTACTAAAATAGAACGAATATTAGAAAAGTTAAACCTTTTAAAATTTCTTACCTGAAGTTATTGTTATTATATTTGCTCTTTGACTATTAAATATGTAATTTATTGTATTAGTGCATTATCCTTACTTACTTAGTCACGCCTGTTAACTTTCGTAGAGGATAATGGGCCGCTCACCAACATTCTCCATTCACCTCTGTCCTGGGAAATCCTTTCCAGATGTTTCCAGTTACCATTCATCATTTTGATGTCTGATTCCGATCTCCGGCAACAGTATGTTCTTTGGTCTTTCTCTTTTCCGTCTACCTCAACGATTCCAAGTTAGCACTTGAATTGTGATGCGGTTTGGTGATTTCCGTAATGTATGTCCTATCCACTTCTAACGTCTTTTCTTATTTTCCCCTTCAGCTCAAAGCTGGTTTGTTCTCTCCCACAGTAGGATATTGCTGATGGTGTCCGTTGAACGGAATTGAGTATTTTGTGTAGACAATTGTTTATAAATTCTTGTGCATTTTTGATGATGGTTGTAGTAATTCATATTGAAGATTCAGACTGTGACATTGGTTGACAGTTGTTTTGAGTTCCATATGTTCTTCAATTATAGCAATGCAACCCTCACTTTTCCAAATCTCGCCTTTACGTTTGAATCACATCCTCCACGTTCATCGGTGATGCTGACCAAGTACGTGAACGTTTCCACCTCTTCCAGAGTTTCCATATCAAGTGTGACTGGGTTGGTGTTTTCCGTGATGTATTTGAGGATCTTGCTTTTTCCTTTGTGTATGTTAAGGTCTAGTGATTCAGAGGCTGCTGCTACACTATTTGTCCTCAACTGGATTTGCCCGTTTGTATGGGATAGAAAGGTCTGGTCATCTGTGAAGTGCAAATCGTTCAGTTGCATCCAACCTGTCCACTGTATTCTGAGCTTCCCCTCTGATGTCGAGGTCTTCATAGTCCACTCAACCACCAGAAGAAAGAGAAAGGGAGAGTAAGAAGCCTTGTTGGACTCCGGTTCTCAATTCGAATGCATCTGTCAGCTGTCCTCCATGCACAACTTTCCAGCGTAGTCCGTCGTACAAATTCCGGATTATGTTGACGATTTTCTCAGGCACTCCATAGTGTCGACGAAATTTCCACAAAGCTCTCCTATCCACACTGTCAAATGATTCCTCACAGTCAAGGAAGTTGATGCGACGAGTCCCATTCAACTGATTGTTCAACGATGATCAGTAGAGTTGCTATTCGGTTTGTGCACGACCGATCCTTACAGAATCAGGTCTGCTGATCTCGAAGTTGGGCGTATACTATATTTTTCATTTGGTCCCACAACACTGCCCATCTTTTCCTCTGTTCTTGAATCTCGGTGACTGTCTTGCCTTCTTTGTCGTGCATTATCCATGCTTGTAAGCATTTTTGTGATACGTAAAATGTTATATGTTGAACATTTCTTACACCATTTTCAATTTATTTCGGACCTGTTATTCAGTTCTCTTCCATTCATGGAATGCTTATACGATTATTGTAATTTCTTAGTTGTGTTAATGTGTGTTCAAGATTTTGCTTCATATATTGTTCTATGGGCTTGAGTTATAATTGAATTTAATGAAATAGAACTGATCCGCTTTCTACCTTAGCCTTCTGATAGGCTACTGGGATAGAATGGACTCGAGGAACAATAAGCATTAACGCCTTGGTTATTGTTGATTGGTCGACGTGTAAGTCGGTAAATAGGTTACCGGTCGTACTGATAATATAAGTAAACTAATCGACAATAGGACTAGATAGAGGTTATGCATCTCCTTTCCTGCCAATTCAAGCCAAGAAAACAACCTGTTGTTGCTTTTTCTTACATTACACTTCTTAGTTAAAGTTTGCTGTCAGAGATAACATTGGAAATACACTAACCTCTGATGTCTCACATGAGCTGCTTTCTGTGTCATCCATATCTCCTGTGCATGAAGTGAGTTCATTTTTATCGTTATACAAAGTTGAATTTGAAAATATTCTATCTGGTCTTCCACCATATAATAGTGCACGTAAACTGGCATCATGTAAATTCTGCACAGGTAAAGCAATTTGAGTACCGGGAACTTCATTCTGACTAAAACCTTTACGTAGTGATGCATAGGATTTAACTGTACTATCATATGTGGGCATACTAGCTTTCCCATCTGGACTTTCACGTCCAGACGGAACAGTATTACGAGTTTCCGACTGTGTTGTAGATGAGTGAATCATATTTGGCATTGTATGATATGTAGGGTATAAATTGACTGCTGATGTTTTGCCTAGTTTATAAGTGTTAAGAGTAACTACTTTTTCTTGAACCATATTTATAGCAATTTCAAGACGAGCTCGAATTGTTCCCCAGTGTTGTGTTTTGGCTTTCTCTACGGTAGATGAATTTGATTTGTCAACTGAAAATAAACAAAATTTCCGAGACAATGGTATAGTGATTTATTTCGAGAAAGGGAATATGTAGAATACTACTTATAATGGACACTTTCGTAAAATGACCATTGACTGGTTAATCTTCTTTTAACGATAACGTATCGATTGAACGGCAGATCACTAAAAAAGTCTTGTTGACATCGGAATCCAATCGATGTTATTAGAAATAATAATAAAATCGTAAAATTCAAACCTACTCACTATTGATCATATGATTTATGATAGTTGAGATAGTTTATTTGGTAATTTTCTCATTTTTGGAAAATAGTTTTCATTACGAAATTATTTCTCAAGATATCCAGAAAAACCATGAAATACCGCTCAATAAATATAATATTTATGTTATCTAATTATACTACTAGCAAGTAACTATTATTTTCTTGCACATTTTTTTCAAAATGGCGCCTTGTGCCTTTTTTTAGATTTACGTGGTACTTTAAATATACCATTCTTCCTTCTGTGGAACGAAACGCACTTTCGCACTAAAAATCATATTTATTTGTTTTAGAACAACATATTTATATACACACTACGAAGTCAAGACTGTTTTCTGACTTCGTACTTCATATATAACCAGCAGTACTCACTAAAATTGGGTTAATTACTGACATCCTGACTGATAAAACTACGTAAAACCTCTCAGAGAAATTCGTCAACTGATGTTTTGAATTTACAAACCCCAAGTAAATATGAAGTAGGCGGGACTTGAGAAGTATTAAAATAGACGGAAAGGTTACGTCAAAACTGGAAACACAGCATCGATAAGGTGTTTAAAATCCAAAGAGGTAAACGGATTAAACTTAAATACTTTATTGTTTGGCTAGAATCGTTTCGAATCTAAACTTACCCTAGCTATTACCTTGAATTTTGGTTGTCACTGGACAGTACCACTTTACAAACTAATTGACTTATCCAAATTTATGGTGTAGAAAGTCAAAACACTGCTCACTTATTCGTTTTACTACATTTAAGATAGTAAACTGTTACATCAAAAGCACTGTTTAAGCACATAATGTCGTACAAAGGCGTGAAAATGAAGTCGATAGTACTAGTGATGTAAACCACAGATCTCTGATACGGCCATTTTTGTTAAGTTCCGTCACGAACAGATCAATCATCCTTTTTTGTGTATCATCACTAATCTAAATGTGAACCAGTTTTATTATCGTTCATGTATAAACATGAATTAGACACTTCTATTAGTTTGTTGAAACAGTGATAAAAAATTTGGCCAATGTTTGTCTCACCTTACTTGAGCACTATAATATTATTTTTCAACGGGTATACAAAGTTAGTTATATTTATTTGAATAAATTACCCTGAAAACATAACTTCAGCTATTTTTTTCAAAATAAATTTCTCTGCAAAATTGAATGGTTGGAAAGTCGTTAAAAAATAATAACCATCACGTTATCACATGACAATATTCTTTCGCAATAAGACATTTACCAAAAGATAATTATTTGGCATCAAGTAGATTATGTTTAGTTAACTTTGGATAGTCTTTTAGACATAGTGATGAACTGAATATATCAACTGATATCTTATTTGACTTTTGGCACGTAGACAACTGAATTGCATGTCAAGCAGTTCTCTGTCAAAACTAATCATCAGGGTTTTGTGAAAAGATCAAAACGGGCTGAGCATTGAATGATTATTTATCACATATTTAATACATTATTATAACGATTATTATTATCTATTTAGAAATTACGCAAGTGTATCGCCTTACATTTGTAAAAGTTACAGTAAGTTGATGTTTTACCAACTAACTGTGTTAACAAACATTTAACCACAAAGTTAAACAAATTCAACACGACACAATATTTCTGACCTTTATGAGTAGAATGTTTATTTATGTTGAATTTTGTCAGTAATGTATCGGGATCTTGACCCAATTGACTTGCTGCAAACAGGTTGAGAAGGGTGATAGCTCGTTGAATAAGGTTAATGATAGTGAATCGAGATTTCTGAAACAAACCAAAGATGCATACATATTATATGATACTAAGCACTATGCAAGATGGAATTTGATTGTTAGTGAGACAAAGTACTAAATTAATCAGGCATGTCGAAATTGAGATCTGTGGTAATGTTTGCTAAGCGAAATGTTGGATTTTTAAAGTTCAATCTCTGAAATCTTTTGTAATTTTAGATTCTCTCCTTCATATCTTACATTAACTCCGTGTTCAACTACTGTGAAACTATTCGTTCAAATTTAGACGAAAGTTCTTATAAAGTGTTCCGGTTAAGACAATTATAATTGTTTTCTTTTAGCTAATGATACACAGTGATTATTGCACAAAGTATCACGTTTCTATAATTTCCAAATACAGTTGGATTAATTTCAAATTTTCACTTTACAACATCTAGTCCTGAATATTAACAACCCTTACTAATAATTGTAAATACACAACAAGTCTTTTATAAGTTTACCCTGACATCACGTTTTCTATTATCTCCACGTCTTAATTCTTGTTCTTCGGTAGTAGTCATATCCTAAAAAACAAAAAAGTAAAAAGGTTAGGGACGTGAATAAAGTTTATTTTTTCATCTTGACAGACAATTCAAACTAACACGTATGGTTAAGCGAGCACTATTATTTGAAGCACATGAAACAAATAAACAAAGCACTAGAAGACGAAAAAACAACAGTTAAAATAACATCCATACAACATTAGACTTGAGAAAAAGTGAAGAAACAGTTATCAACTGATAAAACACTGCACGCATATACACACAAAGCAATAATACATAGAACAAGTATTTACATGAACACATAAACATTATACCTATACCCTGAATTATTAAACGACCTGTAGACAAATTCTGACACGATATAGTCTTTCACTAAACACTTGGTCGTTTTGTAATTACACTATTATATCACTCATACAATCTGATCCATATTCATTTTGATTATAAACCCGATAATTTCATTTAACGTATAAGCGGATTCAAGTTAACATAGCATATTAGTCATCTCAGCATTGAAAATTTTACTTTGATTAACAAACCTAAATTCACATGTTATAACTTCAAAGTGTACTTTGCCTTAAATCTGGGCACTTTTTGAATTATTAATCTGGATACATAATTGTAGAACCCGAAGACAATTTATTGAAAAGATGATGAGGATTTTCAAACGATTTTTTTTTATCAAAATTATGATTTTGAGAACATTATATTCAGTATGTATAGACTAAAAGTTAATATCTATTAAGTATCTCATACATTATTCTTAAATCAACACTTTCAGTCAGCTAATGAGTCAAAATCTCAAAAATAAATTCAGATTCAACTAGATCAAACACAAACTTGATTAATGTTAACTTCGAAAATTGGAAACAACATCAATTCAAACTAAACACACAAATAGAGAGATACCTCTAAATAGGCATCAGTACCATCAATATTATAATCATTTGTATGACTATGCTGATAATCTGAATGAAGATGACGACTATGTCCTAATTGTACACCAGGATGGATATGTGATGAAAATACACTACTATTGTCTAGATCATTGTCATCAATATTATCATTATTTTGTGTATGTGATCTAATAGAATGATAACAACACGATGGTGTTTCATTATTGGTTGATAACTGTTGATGTGTACGCTTGAAATCAGCTAATGCTTTAGCTAAAATATCACTGCATGCACCAGAGCCTAAGTGAAAAGATAATAGATTGACAAGAATAATATGATAATATTTTATAACAATGAAATAATGCAGTGCTCAAACTGGCTTGGGTTTTTATATTGATGAAAAGTAATAAGTTGAAAAATTACAAAAGAGAACTATTCAATACATAAATAATTAACTATTTCGCAAAATAATTTCCTTTCACTCAACTAACCAGTACTTAGAATAATAATGTGTAGGTCAGTAGAAGAAGGATTGTAAACAGATACTACTTGCTACGGACTTTCAATCTTTCTCATTATAAAATAACTATAATGTTTGGTGTAAACTAAGTAGGCTTGATAAACTAAGTTTGATAGTTACGGTTTAGTATCATTGATAAATTCCTGTAATTCAAAGAAAATTTGTCACAATCAATTATTTTTGTACACAGTGACTTCTGATTGTGTAAATTTTCCGAATTTATTAGTTGATACATGTCTTTATTTAAATGAGTAAAAAAGTGATCTGTAATTCTATTAACAATATTCAAGATTGTTGATTAGTAAGCTGTCATAACTTGGCTATATCTTCTATGTAAGCCTTATCTGTATAAACAAAATCTAATATTCGGCAATCCATCAAATTTTCATCACCGTACTAAGCGTTAAAGCAGACTAACAAATATTCATATGAGAAACCTTAAACTTATCGAATGATATAAAAGAGAAATTATTGATTGGTGATATGAATTCATTCAAAACTATTGAAAATGAGTGGATAATAACAAAAATGTATTGTTCACTAGAATGTACGCATTTTTATCATTATTATGCAACGGTCGATAGTTTAGTAATAAAACTAATTACTTTAGACCATACTGAATCATATTTACGAGGATTTGTTTTTTCTTGTTGATCAGTCTGTGTTGTATATCCTCAGAGGATTACCCCAACATAGAAATTTGATCACACGCTTTAATAACAGATTGACAGTAGCTAGCAGTGGAATTCAGGACACACGTTTCGTTTAATTTTTATCTCATGACACTGCAACTGGGTTGTTATACAAATTATCTTTACAAAGTAGTAATAACTTCAACCTAATGAGCACCATGATGTTATCCCTAACCAATATTAACTAACTTAACACATACTTCTCAGATATCTCATATAGTATTAGTACTTTTTGCACAACTCATTTACTGGATTCAGGTATCAATGAGTTAGCTCAATAAACCAAGAATAATCATAAATTGTAGGTTATTGTTGATTAGTAAAGGAAATGAGTACCTATAATTGAGGAGTAACTTCCCATAATGATTTCGAAGAATGTTGAATCTAATTTCGACTTTAAAAAGCACATAATACAATGAAATAATTACTTGACAATATTTTGTTTCAACTGGTAGCGTGATCAAATAATGGCACAATTGAAGGCAGTGACAGGACTTAACATAATTGAGAAATGAGTAAAGCAGAATTGGTAATCGCATTAGGGAATGATTAATAAATCAAGGATAACTTAAATTACGAAATGATTTCAGCTAAACAACTATTGAAAACTGAGGAAAAAATAAAAGTCCTTTCTACTCAGTTTGAAACATACGACCAATACGTATTTCAATGACCTTAGAAAAACACTAAGCATTTAAAAAACTTATTATTTACATTGTAAAACTTCACAACACTTGTTTGACATTATAAAACAACAAGAAGAAGGTCAGTAGGTTACTAAATCATTAGAAATTGATTTCACTCCGAGTATAATTGGTCTAATGTTCACACATAATTGGGTTGTAATGACACAACCAAATGAAGGCAGGTAAGTGCTTAAATTAATAGCCTCCATCATACAAAATGTAAGATAAGAAATAAACAAAAATAAAACTGATCTCAGCCAAAGTACATATATGGAGAATCAGAAGGTCTCGTAAATAATATTGTTAGAAGAAATTGAATAAGAAATTAAAGATCAACGAGTAGTAATCATAGTAAAAGGTTCTGGAGTATGATATATATATTCAAAAACTTTTATTTCCCATTATCAGTCAAAAAGTGGTTGACACATGGGAGACCAGCACTGAATACGGTAACACAGCATAGTTACATGCATACACACATTTAGGTACTGACAATATTATGATTTTCTAGAATAACCTTAGATAACTATTCACCCGCATAAAGTCTTATTACCATATGCGAAGGTACTTATGATGATTCACTTCATAATTTAATCGATTCTTGTTAAAAAATGAAGACAAAATCAGTATAAAAACGTGCCGAGTAAATGGTTTTTTCCACTTGTTAATACACTATCAGTCTACAGTTATGTCCAACTAGATAAATGTTTTGTCATATCCTGAAGCATCGAAATTAAATGACATGTTAAATAACAAGAACCCATGAGCACTAGTTACTACATAATACATTTGTTCAAACTACTTAAATGATCTTATAAGACTATGAACTCCTTTATTAAACCTTTGATCTTACTGTTGGATAAATTTGCATTGATTCGTTTGTTTGTTAATTCTTCAAAATAGCTGTAATCCTAGCTATTCATTTAACTTGTTAGGCGTAAGTGATATTTTTTACGCTCAATTAGTTTCTTAAGCTAACATTATTTCAACTGAAACATGATCAACTAACATTGTTTTGAAGATAAATTCTAAAAGTAGTAAAATGACTTGGCACAGTAGATGCTTTAAACCATGCTTAGGTTAAAAATAGAAAAGATTTTCATATTTTCATCAAATATTCTTACGTTTTGAACCGTGTATTTATATACGATAAATTTATATTCACTTACATAACTTATTAGTTATTATAATGAAAGTCAGAATAAATTACGTGCATACGATCAAATTCTATGAACAAATTCATTTTCAGAAATAAACGATTTAGTAGTAATTCAGATTAAAAGTTGTTAAAGTTTGACTTTTCTTTAATTTTTAACTTTCTTTAAATTTTAACTAGTCTTTTTATTTTTATTAATTTATCTATTCAAAGTTAATTATCCAATTATTGGATCGGGATATTTCATTGAGCGTAATAATAAAAATAATTCATAATAACTTAACAAGTTATCTTTCCAGTGAAATGTCTACGTGATTTCCCCTTAATTCATTAAAAAAATAAGTTATAATTAACATTGTTATACGATCCTTAGTAAAATTGTTAAATTCTGTAAAACTAATTATAAACAAGCTTCTTTCCCTAACTGTCAGCAAATGTTCGAATTGTCCTGAGGCTGATATTTAGGACTGAATTTCGATCATTATATGTCGACATGTATTTTTATTCTGTACGGATAATCTCAGTATAGGCAGTTGGTTTTGTTGTTAGAAACGTTGGACTGTGGCTAGCACTGAAATTCAAGAACTGTGTTTTGCCCCGTTTGTGACTCGTCAGATGGATTTACCCATACACCAGTTTTGACGACTCAAACGCGTGTCAACAGAAAAAGATATTTACTAAAAGACGTACATATCCACATCGCGTTTGTTTTATTATTGTTTCTGTTACGGTATTCTGAATTATACGAGTTTATATGTTATGAAGCAAGAGAATGATGCAGGCTAGAACCATAAATTTGAAATGGAAGCAGGAAGATTTAGCATATTAAATGTAAGTTACAGATTGTTGAGATGGTTTATTCTACCATCTCTTCATACAGGTCACTTGTTTTATGCATAGTTACTTACGTAGTATATTTCAGTGTCACAATACTTCAACGCATTATTTTTTTAGTGGTCAAAAGTTATTTCAGGTTAAGAAAGCTTCAAAAATAGTTGTACACAAAATTATAAGCCAGATACATCTCTGAACATGCCAACTGACTTTAATCGATAAGTAGATTTTCTGTTCTATATAGTTAATTTCATACAAGTTAAATGTGAACTTTTCCTCATTCTTGACAAAATAAAACATATACTGACCACATATTATACGAACGTTTTTAATGACTACGAAAAACTAGTTAACTTAGCGATTAATGTTTTTTTGCTTGCAACATTTAAATGTATCAATTGATTTGTATTTTATTACAAAATAAAAGTTTCATGCCTAAACATGCTATATTATTTGCTAATAACATAAGAATAAAAGCAACAACACTATTAGTGTAACATGAATTTTGTTGGCGATTAGCCAAGAACAACTGATTGATTGTGTCAGTGTGAGCAACTTGGCACAGTTGTTTGTCAGTAATACACATCATCAGATAAAAAATAAAAAAGAACCAGGAAAATATCCACCGAAAAAACTGTCATATTTCCTGTAGTATAGTGAAACTCAACCCAAATTTCAGTAAAAAGATAAGAATAAAATGCCTGTTAGTACACTAAAAAGGAATATAGTCATGTACATAATCCAGTTATTGTTTCCCTCAAATCAGTAAACAAACACTTTTTCACTTGATACTACACAGTAGTGTTACCAATGTTTTGAGTCATTTTACAATCTGTAAGTGTCCTAATTGAAATAAGCGCTTAAAAAAATGTTATTTCAAATAAATCACTTGACAAATCTAGACGCAATCGCTAATATCAGTATAAGGATTCGTTAAGATTGTGAAATATTCGTAGTTTACATCACAGGTTGACTCAAATAGAAAACAAATTTGTAGTTGTAGAAAGTATAAAAAAATAGTAATACAGAAACAGTTTTGAATAGACTTGAGTACATCTTTCGACAATTTAAAAATTACCGTGGAATTTCATCAAATTTTGTGCTTTATGAATGATGTCGTTACGACTAAATCATTAGTGAGCCAACAGTTTCTTCGCCTCAAAGTTGAACATAAAGAAGCCTTCTGAAGATATGCGTTCATAACTTTCGTGAAATGCCTACAGATGAACCTGAAATATATCTAGGTAAAGTCATACATTGAAAAATGTATCAAAGATGCTCCTGCCTGGTATTATAGTTGGATCGTCAGAATATGACAACTGTATGGTAGATTTGCGATTATAAGAATATTCCAATATTTTTGCCAGTACTTTGTAGTGAACTTATGTCAAACACAAGATTCAAAATGCGTAAAAATAATCAGTAGAAAATTGATGCTCTCTGGATTTTTATCCAAGGAGACTGATAAAAGCAATTAACGATATGGAAAGTGGTTGAATTAAGTAAACCAGTAGATTAGTTGCAGTTATAGTCAGTAACTATCAAAAAATTAGTTATTTTCTAAAGTTACGGTGCTTTGTTCACATCAATATGTATAACTAAAGGGTACTAAAGAACTATTAAGTAAGATTCAAGCGAACTAGCGTGAAATAAATTGGCATATTTTCAGGCAAAAATTCTTTTTATAACACCTCCATGACTAAAAAAACCAAAATTTAAATAAGTGAAACAATAAAGAAACGTCTTATAGCTTACCGTGAAGAAAATCAATAAACCGTTCTAAATCATTCACTTGAGTTTTCAACTGTTCCACAAGTTTTTCGTTAACTTTTACAGGATTTAAAAACTGGATTTAAAAGGAAAAACTGTTACTCTAATGCCGCAGTAAGTTGCTACAAGAAAAATGGGTGAATTATTCCTACGATATCCGTAAAATAATAGTTGACTAGGGTTTTGAAATTTCAATTTAAAGCGATCTGATGAAAGAAACAATACAGATTACTGGAAGTAGTTTAATAAATTTTAACGATTATTCACTTTTAAGACGCGTTGTATATATCTTTTAATCAGATTTTCAAATACACGCCTAAAGAATAAAGGTTTTGAGACAATGAATGCTTCTAAAAACATTCCAAACGTAACCGAGTAAAGTGATACGTTTTCAAGTGTTTGACACTACAAACTAAACAATCTCCACAAAACTCCATACGCTACGAATTTTCTTCCCGATGTCATTAGGTTTGATTTGAATTTAGAACTTTGAAAAATTTTTTAAAGATTAATATAAATGAGATTGAGGTTTTAGCCTGATATCATATATAGTTAACTTTATGAATCTTTTCAACAAGTTAACTAATTAAATTGCCGACTGCTGATCTATATATGAAATTACTTGATAAACACTTTCATAAAATTCTAGTCAGTGAATAATATTTATCCACATTTACAACTTCCATTTTTAAATCCTCCAATCAATATTAGTAGGTTTTCTATATTCGGATCAGCTTTAAGAATTTAAAATATGGTCGGTTTGTCACCTTTACATAACTAAGACAGTATGTAGTTATAACCTGAGCAGCTGACTAGTAACGTCTCTATTGTTGGAAAATAAGGTTGTGAATTCTGTGAGTTGTCCTTAAAACTGTGACTATTTTTTTACTGGTACATACTACTAGTTATAAAAAAATAAATTTCGAACTGTTTGTAGATATCAAAATACCTAACGGTTAACAACAAAATATTCCATTAGATTAACACCAGCTTTTGTTGTTGTAATAAAATTAGTTTAATTATTTTTCCGTTATTTTTTTCACATTAAATTATATGCTTGAATAATAATTCCAAAGACATTTCATTACGAAATAACTGATAGATGATCATCGAACTCACTTGATTGACAGCCTTGTCTACAACTTGTTGCAGTTCAGCAGCTGGAAGTTTATCCACATTGGAAATATTCAATTCAAGTTTCTCTCGTAGACCTTCTAGTACTAAACGCTGCTTTTCTAGGATAGCCTGAGTTGGTGGTTCACTTTGTTCACCAGTCTTCAAGAAGACAAAGCAACAGGAATAATACATTAAATAATATTGATTTAGACAAGCATCTTTTTAGCAAACAAAATAATCTTATTACAAAAAAATAATTTTCTGCATTATAGTATCATTATCGAAACTTTAATTTTCATCTGAAAATTCACCGAACAATAAATACCGAATGATATCGGTGATCAATAACGAAAAGTCACTAAAGTTCGCAACTTAAAATGACATTTCAGAATTATTCGAAACGGTTTCTGTGTAGCTGCAACTGGAATTCCGTGTGCTCCTTACATTCTTGCCGTGACTAACAACTTTGCTATCAGAAATTTTGTTCTCAAAAAGAACCATTAAAATAGCTCATTCTTATTAACACAAAATAACTCACATAAAGAGGAAAATAAAAAGAATTGATTTTGTTAGATGAAACGAATGGGAACTATATTCGCATACTCTTATATAACATTACAAATGTTGGATGCTACTTACAAATCATTCAACGAGTAGTCAAAAGTGAAATCTGGAAATAATTTTGCGAGATTTAATAGATCATTATTAGTTGTTAAAAGAAGTAGTGAATATTAATCCTAAGTACAAGTGTGGAATATTCATCAAAAGAATCTTGAGTCGTTGTGTTGTCGACCGGAATTAATAAAGTAAAATTGAACGACCTCACAAAAATTCATTTGTAGAAACATCACTATATTCAATTTGTTTCACTGTGTAACAGAATTACAGTGGATTGTTATTCCTATTTACAGTTTCAAGAATAACGCCCAAGTGTAACTAAGGGTGAATTATTTTGAAATTGTATAAACTTTAAATAAGCCCACTTAAAAGGTATTTGAGTGTTAACTAAGTGTTTGAATAACTGAGAAAGATGTATGACTACAAATTGAATTTATTTAGATAATCAAATAGGCATTTATGGTTAATTACGAGGGTCAATGAGGGCTGATGTTTACTGTTCTGTACAGAATACAATGCATTTTTGATCATTAATAAATTCTTCGTTAAACACTAGTACAAACCGACTCCTTTCCTCTACTATTTATTGCTACGTCTAAGGAGATCAAAATAAAATTAACTTTTGTTAATTTAAGTGCGTGCTCCAACTATTATCTCTTGAAAAGTACTCAAATGGATGTTAGTAGTGTTACGATACATTTAAGGCTGTTATGACTGAAATTTCTGTTATCACTGTTGGAGTGTGATGAACACTCCGATGTATAAAATAATAAAAAATAATCCGAAACTTTGTTTTGCTGTTGAGATGGAAATACACAAGTCCGAAAGTAGTGGACACCTTTGCATAACAAACAAATATGTCTAGAAGTATAATCGTTTTGACGTAAGGTGTTTTGAAATGCTTCGATATCAAGAATTTCACCGATATTAAATGTAAATAGAAAAGTGTAAAAATAATTAAATGAACTGGACTTTGCATCGTAAAATTCATAGTGAAATATAAGATAAATTAAAGCCAAATGGCTTAAACGATCATTAAAACATTTATTAAATAAAGTCCAGAATTAATCAGGTTTTCTTTTTCTTTTCACTTCTCCACATACAGTAACGTCACATACAAGATAAAAGTCCAAATTTACAAATTTGCAGAAATTGGACCGATTTTCTGGAAATTTAAGGGAGACCTTACTAAAACCCTTGTGAAAACTTATGGGAAATGCGATAAAACAATATAAAGTTTCCATTTCTTTGAAGTTTCTCGTCAAAATTTCCAATGACTAGAGAAATTCCTAAAATTTACATTAAATTTGTATAGTTTGAGGCGATCCAGTGAACTTTATGAATAAACCGATAAAACTTCCTTTGGTACTGGAGAAGGCAACAAAATTTGAAGCGACTCTAGTGAGAATTCCCAGAAATCTCCACAGACTCAGGACACTGTGTGACATAACAAAAAACTTTCCGATCGTTTCCTAAAGTATCCTTCTATTGTTATAAATATTATAAATATCCCTTATCCTGCTGTACGTCTTCGTTTGTATGTATATATATTATCATTTTGTTATTTGATAAATGTCTTGTTAAGCGGAGCATAAAATCCTAATCACCATATAAAATTTAAAACCATTGTGTTATAAAAGTTATTTATTTGCTAGTAGGTATTTTTAAACAGTAAGATAATTTAATTTTAACCATCAGTAATTCGTAAACCACTCAAAATAGACCAGCACAGAGTATTTATCGCAACTTAGTTTCCAATTCTAAATGTGACTATAATCACAGGTTGAAGATCACATGTTTACACTGTAGTAAATCTCACAATACCGCTCACTGAATGAGTCAGAATATAGTTGTTTTATTGTTCAAACTTCAGTAGATTTGCTGATTTTGTCGATTGTCTATTTTTGCCCAACAACTTAAATCTGTCCAAGTTGTCCTTTATATGGATTTCAATCTTCAAATGTAACCACATGACATATTTTTTCGGAAGCATCTTTGGAAATATACTTTACGTGAAGAGAATCGCAATAAGTAGAACAAAGCGGAAGTCTACATTCTTCTCTATATATTAAAGTGGTTCTATGTACTTGAAACTCCAGTGATAGTTTGTTTTATAATAATGGATAAAATGTTTTGTTTAAATTGAAATATAAACACACTTTTAAAACTGTTACATAACAGAAGATAAAAGAGGATAAAGGAGTAAACAGATAGTACAATTCAAAATGCACCTTATGATGTTCGACTATTTTATATTTCATAAAAATCCAAGATGTGATATCTTTGTTATAAGCTAGTTTATATAAGAAGTGAACAACACTTTTTCTAAACTTAAGTTATTCTTGTTCATAATGGTAATTGTTTATAATCAGTTAACAGGGTTAATTTATTCATCATCACTCATCTATTTTTGATGATTATTCTTAAACACTACTCATTGATTAATAGTTAAAATTCATAATATTCAAATCTTTTATTTTGTGATAATTAAACAAGGATTATCTATTATCGATTATTATCAAATAGATGAGACCAGTTGTGGGAAAAACGAACATGAAATGAATTAGTATAATACTTGTAGGAAATTTATAAAAGCTATAAATGCGTGGGCGTTATGAAAATATCTATGGTTATTTACAAATAAATGAAACGTAAGGTAAAAATCAATAGATGAAAATAACCAATGAAATTGTAGATAAAATTTTATGAATGAACTTTCTATATGAATAAATAAATGAATGAATGTAGATGTTATTCTTATTATAAGAAAAGAAAATAAATCGTTTCATGTATTATACAGACAATTAAATTTTATTTATTAATAAAAGAAATTTAAAAATTATTATTGTCCACTTTATATTAATTATGAGGCAACTAATTTATTAAAAATACAATTGTATTGAGAAAAAATGTACTGTAAAACTTGAATGTTAAAATATTTCACATTTAACGTAATCATATTCGTAAGCTAAGTAGTGAATTTTAATAGTATATTACTGTTGAACTTAGTATAAACGAAGTAATAATACAGTGAAATATTAAAGTGAAGTACTTTAAATTTATTTTGAATCCGTGAGTTGAATAAGACGCAACTTAACGTTTTCAAGAAAGCAGTAAACTTTATCTTATGTATATTATTAATTAAATAAATATTCAAAACCAGAGCTTACTAAAGCGAATATTTATTCAATTAAGAGGTTATTTATAAAATGATAAATTAACTTACGTCATAAGTTAAATGACGTTTAACGTGATAGTCGTGGGAATCGAGTCTAGTGACGATACATTCTTACGTTGGTGAGGTGTGCATTTTTTATGGTAGACCTTTTTTAACCCCACCCCACCTTGTGGGAAGGCAGCATCGCTGTTATTTTGGTTGTCTGAGAGAAATACATTACTGCTGTCACACCTCCATACAGTCAGCAGTACGACTTTGCCCTCGGACTTTGAGTTTGCTGCTTTTAGTCTCATCGTTCTTCAACCAGCCTATCTGACATGGTAGGACCTTAAGGAATGATTGTTCCAGCCACTATAGCTCGAATGATTAACTAAGAAAGGCAAAACCCGACCACCACGTCAAGGTAGCGGTAACGGTTAGAACTAAAATGAAATATCTTATATAGGTAATAGCCACAAAACCATCATTGCTAGTACGAACAGATTATATGTCAAATTACGTTTATCTAAGTAGCATAACTAAATATTGATTGTCAAGAATCAAAGTTCGATAAATGCAATCGTTGACTGGTATTTCCAGTCTAATGTTCTCAAAATAAAACTAAACTAACTAGTTATTACCTCATTTAACCAATAGTTGTTTAATAATGAAACTCTTGAGGATTCGTTAAGGTTAGATTCACTTTAAGTATTTTCATTAGTATGTTATCGAATTATTACCCACCAGTACTGGCCAGTTTGTAGACAGATGAATTGATATAGGTAAAGTATAGGATGGAATGTTAAATCTTCAACTACAAATATCTGTACTTTTCTGAGTAACCCAGAATCGCCTGACATATTAAGACAGAAATAACATTTTAATACAATCATCTTTAAATTTTATATTAAATACTTACTTAGCTGGCTTGCCTGCATGCTTGTTGTTAATATATGACAAGGAATACGATTTTATAGAGTTCATAAAAATATCACAGAATACTTTAATCTGATGCTACAACTTCTTAATTCACACTAATAAGTACTTATTTAGTTAATTAACAAAATATGAATAAGTCAAATTACCAAAAAAGTTAAATTTGTAAAGGAACAAAGGTGTGTTGATCAAAATTCATCGATCATACGAGTAAAGAAACAAAACTTAAGTTTTTTTCAAACTCATAGAGATTATGAATACTAAATTATTCGGACAAAAGAACTTATTATTACCATACAATTAAAAGGAAGTTCATTTTAACGGCAGCAATTAAACTTCAAATACCTAAGAACCATTTAAATTGTTAAGTAAAATATGAATCAAAGGATTTCGGACATAAAAGATAAAATAATGTTGATGTTCAAACTACTAAGAACATCAGAAGTATATATTAAGAAATGGTTGTTCTTAGAACAACAAAAAATTACCTCATAAGCGAATCTTTCCAGGTCATCAAGATGTCTTTTCAGCTGTTCAATCATTTTATGAGGTCGTCCATTTAAACTTGAAGTACATGCTTGGGATTCTGAAGATAACTAAATTTATAAACATACACTGATATATATATATATACCCATTATTAAAATACAAATCTTTAGAAACATCGACTAACAGCCTATAGATATGGTTAACTATTCAAAAACATTATCAAGGAATTAAAATATTTCATATAATTTGCTTGTCAAGTTGTATTTGGGATTAAAACGATGAAGCTCTTCTTGATCTAAGTGAGGATTCAGTCTCAAAAGTAGCCATTGCTTCCAAATAACATCAACTAAACTTTATCAGTTGTCTCCCAGTCTTTTAGAGTTTCTAGAAGTTTTGTGAAATAAAGTTTAATAATAATACTTTTTGACGCGCGAATGACATTTAGAATAGTAGTGGTGTAATAAAAAATACTTTCTAAAAGCATTGGTAGAAGCAATAACAACAATGGGAAAATAGCATTTCGTGTTTTCTCGCTTCATAAAACTTACGTCTGTTGTGTGATAACTCATTCGTGACTGGAGTTCAAGATGATTCACGTGGGGTGACAAAATCTTAGCACAATTCAGCATAAGCCATAAAAGTGCTTTTTAAAGAGACATTTTAAAATATCCAGCAAATACTGTCAAAGCAAAGTGAGTCACAAAAGCTTTTATAATTCCATCATATTTAATGTTCATAACGTGTAATAGCTATGTAAAAATCAAAATCAAAACAAAATCACTAATGTCGTAAAAGACAAAATCATCAGAACTTAACAACCTAATGGTAACAACGATGAACTACTCCCAGTATTTGAAGACTACCGAAAAACCCTTTTTCTATCAGCACTCAAAAGGATTTTCACCAACACATAAAGTTAAATCAAGTAACAAAACTTTCATTCTATACGACGCCTAAATGTCTCGCAGTCAGAGGCCAAATGTCATGTAAATAAACTATTCTCATCCCCAAACTGCAGACGTACACGTACAATTTTATGATGCTCCCAACTTTGGGTGTACCAAAAAATATAAAATAGCTTCAAACAGACCAAGATACTAACTTTACTGCATTGTTCCGCCAGTGATTGCATGTCAGGGATTCCTCTGGAAGCGAATTCCTCGAGCGATTTAAGCATGAGCTCTCTGCTATCAGACTCAGCGTTTATTACTTGCCCTAGACGAAATTGCACCTGTAAAATGAGAATATATGTTAATTTTACTGTGGCTTGTAATGATATACTCGACATGAAGATTGTCAGTTATTGATTAACACCATGCAGAAATCATGGATTTAATGAAAAGACTTTCAGTACCAACGGTTAGATTTTCTCAGTAGATTTGTGGATAACCTTCCATTCATTAAAAACGTAACGTAGATATTTCATATATTATAGATCAAATTGATATAAATACATAAAATCTTAAACCACAGACAATGTTGGGAAAATACATGAACTAAGTTAAGACGGTGAAACAAGTAATCACGAAGGATTGAATTTCTGTTTACTGAAAGGCTCAAAAACATATTTTCCACAAAAATACTCCTTCCAAATCTAGAAGACGTTAGTTGGATATTTTCAAACTTTTTCCTCCAATGAGAATAGAACGTTTTTCACCTGAAAGTTCGGCTAAGGTGCACTTGCTGTAACCCATTGCCAAGAATAATGTAACCAATATCCATGGTGTCATCAAAATATATACTTTGTGTTTTTTATTCATATACGAACTTAAAGTTACTTTTCAGAATACTAATAATGTCTCATCAAAGAACAATCCCATCAAATCAATCAATGTTGTATAACCCATATTAAATACTGAGAGATCAAATAAATAGATGATTCAGTAGTGAACGGATTTGCAGGTACAAGAGAAACAAAAATGTTCTGAAATGAACATACAAATGTCACTTTCTTTTAAGAAGCTGTAGAACATTTTGAGAAAGTGGAAATATTTATAAGCTATAGCTCATACAGTATTTGTCTTAGCGGTGAGGGATATTTTTTGATGAATGTACGATAAATTAGAAGGTTGAACTCGAAGTGACATAAATATTTGACGTGAGTAGGATGTTTGCTCATCTAAGAAACTGGTTTATTCATCTATAAAACTTAACTTCACAGTACTCAAGAATCTTGATCTTATTTGATCACTAAACATCTGCCTTAATCTTGACTTCAGCAATTTTGTGTCATAGTTTCGTACTAAAGCACACATTAATATGTAACACTGAACTTGAACTTATTAGCTGGGTAATTTCGTGTTTTACATGAGAATAGAAAGTTCTTGTTCAATTTTGAGTTCATGAAATATTGTGTGAAAAAACGGGAGCTATTATAAACTAATTTCTCGGTTAAGCCAGAATTCTGTCCATTCGTCCAATAGTATACGGTTGTGCTTAAAGCTATATTTGAGTTCACCTAATTGTCAATACCTCCCTGAACATTTTAAATGAGATAAACGAACAGCCTCTATCTACATGCAACATTAAAAAATAAAAACGTCATAGGTGACTACCTGGTTTATTTCAGCGTTCCGAATTCTCAGATGTTGGCAAATCATTTGCCAGGTACAGATTTGTGTACTTAGCTTTGAGCAACAACATAAGTGTAGAGACTAAAACCATACTTTTTATTTTATCGTAGAACGCGAAGTGACTTTATATTAGTACTGTATATGTTAATCACTTAGATTTTCGCAAGTCTCACTCCCCCCTAGAAATAAACATATATAAGGCCGCTACAAAAAGATTTACAAAGCGTAAACAAATAAACTCAGAGTGGAATTCCGTTCTTTTTATCTAGTAATTAATGATTAGAACACCCTACGCGAACATATGGTAGCAACCCCAAAGAGTGAACACTTTCAATAAGAAGCTGAATCTCCAATGAGAGACAAGCTGAGAGAACTACTAAATGCTAATTGAGTTACTATCCTTATTACTGAAGCCTGTTACTACTCGATTGTCCTAACCGAATATTGGTAAGTGAAGTCAAACCTTGTGACTCGACGGTTGAAATTCAAGTGCTTTAACTGTTGAGGAACACCTCACATTTTATAGATGAGCATGTTAAAATGAAATAAACCGTCGATAGTGTAGATTACTAACAACAAGATCTTGACTCGAAACCTGGGGCAAACACATTTGGTGGATAGTTAAAACAAGATTCACTCGTTAAATAATATTCTCTTTATCTTCGAAACACAAATGTCGAAACAATGACCAAAACGCTATAACTTCCAAGTCAAACTCCTCTTATACATATAGGAAGAGTTGTACCCAGTAGTTATCATAATAGATGATTTGTTTACAAATTACCTGAGCAATGTGAGAAGTGAAAGCCATCAACAAACTGTTAAGGTGTTCATTTTCTATGGCTAGGCGGGATAATTCAGACTCATGGTCAAATTCATTATCCATGTGATTCTCTTCAAACGCATGATAACCAAGTTCAGGACTTGCGTTTGCACCAAGAGGTGTCCATCTTTCTTTGGGGCGGCCATTTTCCTCCGCGAATGATAAAACTTCTTCACCACAAGGTGTAAAGTTTATTTGATGGTTCGATGATTGTATAAGACTCATATTTGAAACATAAACACGCAGTTACAGAAAATCAAGCTGATTAACCCGCTCTTTGGCCTATTACAAAGTGGACCGTTTTGATTAGTTTAAACGCGCTGTGTTCAAACATCGTTGGGTGGAAAAATGACAGATATTTTATATTTAAAGCATGTGTATCCATTAGAAAAAAGTCTACATATTACAGAAAGATACTAAGTATATCATACTACCTCAGAACTTGATGAATATAACAGTCAATACATAACAGGAAGATCGAATAATAAAACCTATATTTGCCTACATCTGTGCCACTAAAACTAAAGATATTTTCAACAAATCCTCTAAAGTAATCAAAGTACTCTGGATTATTGATTGCTTCTATGATATGTATTGAAGACCAAGTAAAATGTGATCATCTTCACAGTTCGTTGAATTGTGTAAGTTAAATCAAACTCCAAAGGCATCAACAGATAGTAAGCGCCGCAATAGAAGATTCCAAACGTTAATGGTTTGATAAAAGAAGTCAGATTTCATACATTAATGATGTAGTCATCAAGCACGAATGCTCCTGGATATGTATATACTGAGCATTGAGTTTTATTGGGATATATGTTTGAAGTAAACAGGATCAAATTGTGAAGCAATTAAATGGATAAAATCCTACGTGAAAGTCACATTATTGTCTACACTGACTCATCCTACGGCTTCTAGAACTTCTGAAGAACACACTTGGGCTGGAAAGCGAGTAATATTGTTGTAACATTAGTTCCTAACCACGCAGACTCCGAAGCCGAACATATAATTATTGAAAGGATCCACTTTCAACATGTAACACTAAGAGAAACTCAACAACTGTGAATGCGGGAACATTCATTTAATTATTCGGATGGCAAATCTCAGGCTTACAGGCGTGGTTATTCCGTATATCACCTCTTTATTCGCATTAAATACCATATTCTATCTCAAGCTCATTCGTGTTTTCTTGAAATATTAACGGCTGTTTTACTGGTTCTTACTATACGACGAGTCAATGTAGGCAATGATGTGACCTCCACGTATGATCTCCTAGGTTAGGTAGTCACATTATGACAAGTCGACAATTTTAGGGTTGAGTTTATCACTATAAGAGTATTAACAACAAACTATACAACGATCCTACAATCCACTTGATACAAAAAGAAGGTTATGTTGAGTGACCGCACCCGCATGACCGAGCTATTTCATTTTGATTATATGTTCCGCGTTCACGATTGCCGACCTTCCCTTAGTGTTACATGTTGAATGGTATTGTTGTCAGTAATTATACACTCAGCTTCAAAGACCGTGTGGTTAAGAATCAACATCACTATATGACTATTTTAAACTCGTAGATAAAACACGATGAAATCTATACTACATATATGTCAAGGTGTTGACAAAACATCAGTTAACTTATCACACATCAATTATAATTCTAACTGCCTACAAATAATGTATATTTTACATGTTGTTTATTCAACCCGTGTGTATGGAACATATGTATTTCACAACAGTATGTTCTGGAAGTTTTGTTTCATTCTGTTCAACATGATTGACCTAAGAATTTTAATAAGAGTCAGATGGCCACCGTTCCTCAACGTCCAAAGGCAACTGTTAAAACAACTAGTAGTTTATGAACTAGATATTACACAGATACCCCTAAATAAATTGAAAGCTAATCAAAACAAAGGTTTTATTACTGTCGCGATGTTAAATCGAACTAAATGTGAAAAATATTAATAGTCTGAAGTGCCCGGTGCAAATTTCAAGTTAACTGGGTGTAAGCCACTACTGCTCTAACCACATTAGGTTAAATGGGTTACACAGGAGTCGAGACTGTAGCTTAATGTGCGAATATTTCAAATGATACGGTTAATTTCTTTGGATCAAAAGCGGTCTCAAGAACACAAAGGATGCACATGTTTAGAAAACTATACGACACAATGAAGAAACTAGCGGAGTAGCTAATAAAGCACACAGAAAGCAACTCAGTCACTGAAATTCTTGAGCAGTGAGACGTGAGCAGAAAACATCAAATGCTCCTGAGCGGAGCATCTTCAATAAACAACCGAGGATCAAAATAACCCACACAGACATTTTTATAGATCTTTCACACAAGATAGATGCAAAACTGTTATACTAGGTATACGATCACATATTAAACAACATATCGGATGGTATTCAACAGAATTGTTTACGGAACAACTTTGTGTTTAGCAACGGGATCTTTTACCTTAGATGACTGTCCCACCAGACAGAAGTGATTATATGAAACGTGTAACATTACACTTTTAGTGACTTATAAATAACAATGATCAGATGAGAGGTATTCATCATGCACAGTACATGTTACTAAGTCATACGAAGAGCTAATTAGCATTCAGGGTTCGCAATTTGCTTCAGACACTGAATGGACATGTTCTCGTTTTACTAATTGAAAATTTCCTTCCGGAGAAAGAAATGGTGCTTCACGTTCTCTTGGGGAAGATTTAGGAGGAAGAATATATACCAACAGACCGGAAAGAAGGATAGTTGAACAAGATACCAAAGAAGGAAAATTTGATCAAGTGTGAGAATTACCAATGCATCACATTCCTATCAGTACAAGAGAAAGTTTCCAACGGTGTTGCGGGACCAAATGAAAAAATTCAATAGACACCCAACTTCAAGATCAACAAGACGAGTTTCGTATGGATCGATCATGTGCCAACCGAATTACGACACTTTGGATTATCGCCAAACAACCGACTGAATGAAGCTCATCACTATACATCAGCTTCTTCGAATACGAGAAAGCATTCGACAGTGTAGATAGGGAAGTTTCGTGGGACATCCCTTAACATTATGGAGTACCTGACGAGACTGTCACTATCATGTGGAAATTTTACGAGGGACTGAACAGCTAATAAACGCATTCCAAAGTCAGAACTTTTAATAAGAACATTGAAAGCTTTATTGTGGGGAGCTGAAACTTGGAAAACTACCACAACTATCATGAAGAAGTAACAGGTTTTTATAAATAGTTCCCTAGGCAAAACACTCCATATCCATTAGCCAGACGTCATGAGGAATAACCCATTGCTTCAGCGAACAGACCCGCTTTCATATGAGCAGGAAATTATGGAGACACTCGAGACGGATAGGTGGCACTGTATGAAAATCAAAGTGAGCACAGTCAAGCTTGAAATCAAGAGAAGTGGGAAAGAGGCAAACAAGGGAAAATGATGCACTGGTGATCAACAACAAATACCAAAATAATTATCAGTAACTGGAAGTTAATGAAGAGGACCCACCATGATAGATTTTGGTGAATGTTATTGGTGGGTGGCCCACGCTTATCCAGGAGTAGTAACAGACGTATATAAGTAAGTATGTAGAGTATTATGGTTGTGGTTCATCCATCTTTAATTTAAAAATTTTCATCACACTGGAAGGTAATTTTAAGCAAACTGCTACTCGTGATTAGTTGCTTTACATTTCAAATGTTTCAATGTGATAATAATCGTTTCCAGTCTACATTTATTTTACCGTATTACAAGCCTCAGAATGGCCACTCTAATACATACACTTCCAGTGTATATTTGACCGTCATTAAGACATTTTAAATTCAAGCTCGTAGTTATTGGTTTTCTCGGTGTCCAACGTTATTATGCAGAGATATTGCCTAACATACCTGCATACAAGTCACTAAAAAGATTTTCCACGAATCTTAATATAACACTTCAAACTTTCTCAATAAAACTCTATAGGAAGCTGTGTTGTTCTGGATAATACTGTTGATGTGTGGAACTTATTCGATCACAATATAAAGTGTAATTTCTTTCGTCACAAAGGTTTTAATGCTGCAATAATCTGGTAATAATAAGTTTAAACACCCCTCACCACGACAGATTCCTTCTTCTTTGTTCTGGCAAAGCAACTTTCGAAAATTTATTATATTTGTTTACTTTAACCGTGACTTTGTTATAAGAGCAAAAAGAGTCAAGTAAAACCACAATGACTGGGTAAAAATTAAGCAAGACTGAACATTCGGAATCATATAATTAGAAGTTATTAACTTTTTGTGCTGTGTTTTATTCTGGTTGTCGAGACAGAAAGCGTAGAAGAACTACATTCTTCACCGACAGTCGATCAATATTTGTCTAACTATCATCGTGTCTTTGATAAATAGAATGTCATGGGTCCAATATAAACAATCTAGGTGAAATAATCAGTTCTCTAACATACTTACTTACGCCTGTCACTCCCAATGGAGCATAGGCCGCCGACCAGCACTCTCAAACCCACTCTGTCCTGGGCCTTCTTTTCTAGTTCCATTCAGTTCTTGTTCATTCTTCTCATGTCTATCTCCATTTCCCGGCGTCATGTGTTCTTTGGTCTTCCTCTCCTCCTTCGACCTTTAAGATTCCATGTGAGGGCTTGCCTTGTGACGCAGTTCGGTGCTTTTCTCACTGTGTACCCTACCCACTTCCAGCGCTTCTTCCTGATTTCTTCCTCCACTGGGATCTGATTTGTTCTCTCCCACAGCAGGTTGTTGCTAATAGTGTCCGGCCAGCGGATACGAAGTATTCTCCCTAGACAACTGTTAATAAACACCTGTATCTTCTGGATGATAGCTTTCGTGGTTTTCCAGGTTTCGGCCCCATACAGTAGAACTGTCTTGACATTTGTACTAAAAATTCTGACTTTGGTGTTGGTTGCCAATTGTTTTGAGTTCCAGATGTTCTTCAGTTGTAAATATGCTACTCTTGCTTTGCCGATCCGTGCCTTCACATCTGCACCAGATCCACCGTGTTAATCGACGATACTGCCGAATTACGTAAAGGTTTTTACATCTTCAAAATCTTCTCTGTCAATTGTGATTGGATTGCAATTCTCTAACTGGATAATACAATAGCTCTCTTGTAATTGCGGTTCGATTACACGTTCCAATTTAGCCTCAACCATTGTTTGTTTTCTTGTTATGTTATATAAATAACTAAGTAACTATTCAGTGAGTCTCTGAATGAATTTATTGTCATTAAAACCACTTTTTCATTTATGGATTTTATGGAGTCATGAATTGTCTTGTTAAAAGTATTCGCAGCGGCGGGCACCAACCATTTGAAACTTTTAATACGAATATAGTAGACAGAATTTTAGTTTGCTTCATTGTGCTAATCTTTGAATTCAATAAAGAACGCCTATTTTATAAGAGATTGTGGGTTTTCAAGCAAAGATGGATAGTTACTAGTAGTGGTATCTGGAACGTGTATTTCGTCTTATTTGGGACTCGTCGGCTAGGTATACCAGCATATCAAATTTGGTGCTCACTCCAGGACATTTGAAGTGGATGGTACTGGTTTAGAGTCCTGGATTCCACATAAACCCTGCGACGTAGGATTACCCAGCTGACAAGTCCCAAATGGAGCGAAGCGCGCCTCCTGGATTCCGCTAGCCACCATCTTTGCTTAAAATACTTGACTTACTAGTAATATAAAGGCGATTCGGTAGCATGCTAAGAGAGACTGATTAATTGTAGTCCTAAACATCAACGGAGGATTCGAACAACCAATATGCACAAATTAAAGTTGGAGATTGTGTATTATTTTTAATAAGCAGCGAAGTGCAACGAACTATTCTTTGATTTTTACAGAGACTACCCTGAGATTTGATTCATAAAGTCTTAATACTCGTAGATGAGTGAAATCCTTCCACATAAACCCTGGACATGAAAGTCTGTAATATTCATCTAGAAAAAATCACTAACCTCTGAAGCCAAATAGTTTGGGAGATGTTTATCGACAAACAATACTAAGTGACGATAGAGCTATACGACGAATCACCACCATTATTTGAAGATGGCCCTTAAAATGGACGTTTCGAGCCTGTTAATGGATTTGAGACAAACGCAGAAGTGGTAAATTAATTCCATTCAGTACTCCGAGTGATGGTTCTAAATAATTAAACAGTAAATGTTGTAGTGTATGATAAACAAAAACTTTGAGAATCATCAGTTTAATTAGTACATTTACTGGGACGCCAGACAATAAATCCCACAACTTGATCATCTATTGGGTGGGGGAATAATATCCAATTAATCTTCCGGTAAATTTACGTAGATCCAGTCGGTTTTAAAATTTTATTCAGCTTGTTCATTTCGGAACGAATTCCGTAAAATATCTCATCATAATCTGGGTGACTACATTGTTATTAAATGATTCACTTTTACTCAGTATTTTTAATAATGATGGTCAATTTAAAAAAGACTTTTTGATTAATAACAGTTGAAACTAACTAATAACTGCTCCCAAGAACTTCAATGTTCAACGAACTTATTACAATTCACAACCTATCCTGTGTAATATTTAAACACGTCTATACTCATTAATTTATGTATGACAATATTAAAATCGGTTAGTTTAGTGGGTCATATGAATGCTTTTGTGTCTATCAGTAATATATTACGTAAGAAAACAAAACGAACAACAATATTTACAATTTATTGATAATCACATAGAATTAAATTATTTCGAACTTTCTCATCACTTGGCTAATAAAAAATCATAATCTAACAGTTTGTTTTTGCTTTGCAGCCATTTCTATTCGTGATCTAATGATTTGATTAATCTACACGTGAAAAGAAGTAAGCCTTGAATAGTGAACCCTTTTTTGTAAATCTAAGTTGCTTAAGGAAACTTATACAACAATTATATACGACAATCACCTTCCTCACCCTCCTTCAAGTAATCGATTATATCAAAACAACTAAAAAAGATCGAATTGAAAGACAAATTTCAATATCAATGATAAATCTAATGTTTTTGTTTTGTCTCCCACATATTTTGTGCTTCCAGTTTCTTCTTTTCTTGGTTATTATTTAAAAAAACAGGGGGAAAGAACACGAAACAAAAAACAAAACAGAAACAACCGTCAATTAGTAAAAATAAAACGGGAAAGAAACCGGCAAAAAAAATGAAAACACCAAAAAAACAGGTAAATAAAAGATAAAACCAAATGCGCAGCACACAGCAGCTATGAATGAGATGCAAAGTGAAAATTACTCTTGTTTTTCTATTATTCTAACAAATAAATCTCTCCTTAAGAATAAGTCATATAAAAAATAGAAATAATTAAATATTATTATCAGAGACAGTGTTAATAATAATTTTCTCATTTTTATGTATGTATATATATTTATGTATATTTATATTTGTGTGTATGTTTAATTACTCACACCATGACAAACAAATGTAAAATAATGAATATAAACATTTTCTACAGTGTGATGAAACGTAAGATGTGGGAAAAAACGTCATATTTTCCCCATAGATATATTGTGTATTCCAATAGATCAATGAATATGTGAATTAAACTAACTGGAAGCGAAATAAAACAAATTACATCATTTGGATTTGTGTAACCATCATAGAAAATCAAATGAATAAATTTTGTCAGAAAAAACTCATTTGTTACTACAAATTGCCTGGTATTTTTTTAAATTATCTGTACACACCAATTAATATTTATGTAACTTAAATTATCATACCAAGAGTGTGTGGGTTTACTTTAATCAGGGAGAAGGGAAGAAATGGGAAAAACATGTTTTGTGATGAGTGATAGGAGTAGAATCAGGGAGAATAGATAATTAACAATTGCCAAACACATTGGAGAATAGGACTAAGTTATCAAACACATCTGAGTTTTATCAATCAATCTGATGGAGTAGCATAGTATTCATAGGACTTCATTAATCAATTGTAGTATATATATTCTGGATAATAAATAAGTAATACACAAAATTTGAAATAATTTCTATTCACAAAATATAAAAGCACCATTCATTGCTAAATCTTAAACAGAAAATTTGAGATATCTTCCAAGAAAAATTTCGATTTTTTATTTTGATAATAAGACAAACAATTTTGTAAATAAACATTACATTATAATAATTTTATATTGGTTACGTTTTAAATAATATAGACGTAAAATAAAAAAGAAGGGTAAAACTTGTATACAATAACTTCACAGACTAATATATACTGTATACACATTCACAGATAAGAAATAATTGACTAAATTTACATTGAATATAAGATAACTGAGAGGCAAGGGGTAAGATGGTTTCTGTTAACTTTATATTATTCATAAAAACGTGTATAACTAGTACATTTTTTGGTATTTATTAGCTATCCTATTCATATAGGAATAATACGCAGTAATAGTATTAATATTAGTATAGAAAAAGTTTAATCCAATATAGATAATTACTATTCATACAAATATTAGCCAATCAGATTCAGACAGATAGGGAGTGGGTGGAATTTTGGATTTGATTTAAGATTGGTTAATTTGATTCGAATAGTTGAATGAATAAAATCAAACACAGCGTAAATGGTCAATTAATGATGAATGGAAGTCATTCATTTTACCAATAACAGTAAATAACGAGTAGAATGGAGCAGTTTTATAAAATATTAATCAATAATCTTACTGTAGTACTTTGATAATGATAATGTTTTATTTATAAGGTATCATTACCAGTTAGTAATATATATATATATATATATATATATATATATATATATATATATATATATATATTGCATTTTAATCTCGGAATAATTGCTAACATTTAGCTAATGAAATAACAATAAATGCTATAAGAAGGTATATGCATGGAAATTTAAGTATTTACACAGTAGAAATTTAGTGCATAATATGACTTGATTAAATGAAAGTATATAGGAAGAATGATAAGCAACATTTATTGTGTAATTAAATAAACCATTAACTAACTACCAATATGTTTTACATCACAGGTAAATGAGGATGATTCACATTGACGGTTTTTTTATTTAGTGGATAAGCAGCTAAAACATGATGAATAAATTCATATTGTTCATTACTTTGTACCATACCGCCACGATCTAATCTCATCCGACTAACTATTTTTAATACATCAACCATACCTTCTTTTTCGAGTTGTTCACAACCTATACATAAAGCAATAAAACAACCAGTACGACCAAGACCTGCGCTACAATGTACAATAATTGGTGCATCTTCATGACCCAACTGATCCAATTCCATTTTTTGTAAAGATGGAACTAATTTAGGACGGTAGGATGAAGCATGAAAACATTGAGAATCTGGTAATTTTTTACAATATGTAAAATTTACATCTTCATCAGTATTATTTGAATCGATTTCAGATTTATCTGTTGATTTTACTTTTGACAATGAACTAGCATTTTTACGACAAGTTTCAACAGCTTGTACAAGTTCAATTAAACTACGTACAGAAGCGGTAGCTTCAGGGGATGAATGATCAGGCCATGCAACATACCAGAAATGAACAACTTCTCTATTTTCTGTACCACACTAAAAATATAAAGGAAATCATTGAGAAACAATAGATTTGATTGTTTTTAATTAATTAACTAACTAACATAAAATACAGTAAAGACAAAATTAAATGAAATTATTTGCAAGTAGCCTCAAAAATTAACTTCTAAATGATTTATAGATTCTATTAAAAAATTAAGATATCGTTAAGTAAAAGATTCTTCCAATATATTTGAAAGCTGTTAACAATTTAACATATTCGAAATTACGTTAAACAATAATTTAGCACTTTGATTTGTATTTCACTCCATGTGAAATCATATGGTGAACGTAATTCCAGGACTAATGGATGGACATAAACTTACTATTGATATAATGAGTGTGTGGACGGATAGCATCTACCTGTTACTCATTGCTATTGGCAGTAATTATTATAGAAATTCATTTACATTGTGTCAATGATGATTACAGAGCATGAGTTAAAGTTATGAAGAAATAAAACGAAATATATATTGACAATTAGTAAGAAAGATAATGTGCATCAAATCTTAACGTCGTTTTTAAGTTAATCATCCATGTTTGTGAATTCTAAAGTGGAATAAGTAAAAATTCAAAGGAATATTTAAAGATTATCGTACCTTGTTAGTTTTAACGACATCGAACTAGAGATGATTTACAACTCTCATTCATTTATAGCTTTCAAAATATCAATAAATCAAATGGTTATTTAAGAGATGTCTTATGGTTATATATTCACGCTGATCAATATAATACAAATTTTAAACTATAATAAAACAGCTAGACAACCCAGATTTTTTAAAAATTGGATTCCTGTGAATGTTAGACACTTACCTTAGTGTTGCCATTAGATGTGTATCAATTTTTCAAAAGTACAGCAACAAATGTTGAAGCAATCAGTAAACAATATGAATTATGTTCAGTACATATGATGCAGTTGAAATAGCTATTTAACACATATACAAAATACGTTCAGCAAAAATTTATCAGATGATCACGAACTATACAAACAACATGACTACGTACATTATTGAACAACAGTGGTATAGAAAGAAACATTAAATCCATAATACTATCAGTAAAACTCGAATTATACAAGGTTTCTAATTAATCTTCAAACAATTTATCACAAAGTAGGTATTATTAAAAATCTATGTAGTTCAGTAGACTTCATTCTCAATAAATAGATTTCCTCATTTATTAAACAGTAAGTTAGTGTTAGTGAAATGCGTTACATTAAAATCAATACATTCATTTCTCAAGGACGAAAAATAAAACTTATGGTGATGAAAAAGGAGACAATAGTTAAAATTAACTAATGTCTATAGAGTGACTTCTTGGAATTCAGCTATTAACTGTAGTAAATATATGGAAGATAATGTTAAAACATATTCTTTGAATTATTCAGTCTATTAAAAGTCATGTCGAGCATTTCAACCAAATTGATTTTTTTCGGTCCATTTTTGTTGTTATTAGAACACATAAATATTGGTACAAAAGGGCACCGAATACATATGCACCACAAGTCACTTGATTTGTATGTGGGCTGTGATACATCCCGGGCGCCCAAACCGAAGAAGTGGTTTTCTTAGGGAGCCCCACACCCCGAGAGTTTGACCCAAAGGCCTAATCCACAAAGCACTGGAGCAACGTAAGGAGATGCAGTCCCATGGTAGTCTGTCCCAAACGATTGGTTCATACGCCATTTGTTCCTTCAGGATTCTGGAGTCCATGTGCATCAATGGTTTGGAATCAGGGTTTTCCCATTCCGCTGGATGAACCCTCCGAATTCACGAACCCGGCTAATGTGCCGGACATTCGCTTTGTGTCCTCTCAATCCCGTAAACAACACACACGTCACGAGAAGGCAGTGGCTGCATACGCGTGACCATGTGAGAGCATTTCGTGAGGTAGAGAAGACTTTTCCAACCCTCGGCCGTACCGGGGCATTTAGGGGCCTTTGACAACAAACATTAAATTTTTGATCAATATTAGTTGGTATATGTACATACTGTGTAGATTACCTCGATATAGCAATTATTTCACAAGTTCATATAGAATAGGTAATCCTCACAGGATCCACATATCCGAACTAAGACTGTGCAAATTTCAGTTAAACATATCAACAACCTGACAATACAAACCATTTCAAATTGAATTAAAATCCATAATTGTTGCATAAATGAGTGGCTATGTGGATTCAGTAGCTAAATGGATAACGTGATGGCATTTGAAGAGGACGATAGTCGGTTCAAGTGTAGGAAGGAACATTAACTCTGAGATGCAGGTACGTGTAGCTAACGAGTTTCAAAAAGAACGAAACATGCATGATGGATTCCGCTACTAGCCACATTCCATCTATTGTATATAAACATTAAACAGTCAACTATTCTAAACATAAACTCGTTTCCTTTTCAACCATTTTCTTTAACTGATAGTTTCTCTTTTTTTGTTTTACTAGTTAAGAAAAGGATAATAAACATAAATCGAAGTATTAATCATTGTCAATTTCTTGATTGTTTTAATCAGTAAATATTATCAATTGGAATGAAACTAACTCAAAATGATAGCAAGATTTGAGTGAATAATTAGAATACACATATTAAGGGTTTCAATGACATGAATTTAATAAAAATTATGAAATGAACATTATACTATTGATAATTATTAGTGACTACATGTAGATGTTATTATTATTAAACAGAGTAAAACAGATTATAGTCATAGGCTTAACAGAAGATGAATTAATTTTTATGAATTAATTGATTTTATTTATACTACATAAGTTCTATTAAAATAAGTCACCAAAATTTTACCAGAAAAATAAAATGCTAATACTGTAAAACATAGAGAGAAATGTTGTGCAATAAATAAATAAATGAACAAGATTGTTATCTATCAAAAGATACAGTTTTGTTAATGTAGAGTTATGAAGAATTTCAGTAATAAAGTGAAAGAAAACTACAGTAAAGTCGATACCGGTTTTTATTGTAAGAAACAGATAACAAATAAAAAATTCTATAATGTCTAGAACACTAAACATCCGTGTTATCATGACGAAGTGAAACGTTTGAGTTCTATACAGCTATCCTTCAATCTATGAGCTTAAATAGTTGGATTATTTGATAGTAAATTATTTAACCCATTCGTACTGCATTCAATTAAACGTTCATTATCATTTGAACCGATTGATTTTCGCAGTAAACATTTATTGTTTTGACACTAACAAGTCCAAAAAGCAATCCAACTAATTTGCATATAATAAATAGATCATAATCTCTTATTTATAATCAAGTTACTAGTTCGTACAAACGAAAAAACAATAATCGCCTAAACTATAACACAATTAGGAGGGCAATATCACAGCCCACACACAAATATGATGAAATGTCGCCCCCAAATGCCCTGGTATGGCCGAGAGTGGGGTGGGCCGCCCTCCCTCTCGAAATGCTCTCACATGGCCACGCATATACAGCCTCTGCCAAGGAAGTCCTACTCACTGCCTTCTCGCGGCGGGGGTGTTGTTTACGAAAATGAGAGGACGAAAAGCGAATGTTCAGCGCTTTAACCGGATCCCAAACCAATGGTGCACATGGGCTCCAGGATCCTGAGGGAACAAATGGCGTATGAACTAATTTTTGGTCACCAGCTACCACGATGCTCCACTGCCTTGTGAGTCAGACCTTTAGGTCAAAGGCTCGGGGTGTGGACCTCTAAGAAAACCACCTGCTTCGGTCTGAGCACCCGGGAAGTATCACAGCCCACACACAAACATGATGAAATGTTGACATTTATGGAAGATACTTTCTTACTCCAATTAACAATCGAACAATTCACATTATCAGTACTATTATTATTATTATTATTATTATTAGTATTAGTAGTAGTAGTAGTAGTAGTATTTACCACGTCATTTATTCACTCTCTTTTACTCTCACTCTGTGTATCCTTATTTTTTGACTTATACAGCAGCTCGCCTATCGTGGAAATTCGGCTCTATCTAAACGATCTCGAATCACTGCCTGGTTGAAAATTGTATGCTACAACCGAATACGAATACTGAAGCAGTTTTTCTGAAACCACGTGCACTATTCAAACTGGCTGACTTCAACGTTCACCCACTTATGCAGATCGGACAACAGATAGGACTGGCTATGTCTTTGGAAAGTCTTAATATTGACGTTTGTTGTCTATCCGAGACCCGTATTCAAGAATCTAGTAAAGTACTACAAATTCGCTTCCCATTTGTCGCTTCAAAAAGCTTGTTTTACGTGTGTTTATCCAGGGACCCTGTGGCATCTTCGTCTGGTCTTGCTAGCGTTGGTGTCGCACTAAGCGCTAGAGTTGAGGCAGCACTAATCGATTGGATCCAATTAACAGTCTGTTATGTGCTGTTAGATTAGAAAGCTCCATCAAAGTGAGAAATCGGCGTGAGAAACGATGTCTTTTCGTCATCTCCGCCTATGCCCCGACAGATTGCAGCCCGGATGCAATCAAGGATGAATTCTACCACCAGTTAACTGTTCTCCAGAAAGTGCGTTCGACAGATATTGTAGTACTAGCCGGAGACTTGAATGCTCAGGTCGGGCGTCTAGGTGCAGAAGAGAGTCGTTTAGGTGGCCGATGGGGACTTGTTGGTCGCAGGACAGATAACGGGGAACGTCTACTGCAACTATGCACAGACCACAACCTGTTTCTGGCTAGCACTAACTTTCAGTACAGTCATCACCGATGTGCTACCTGGCGTCCCCCTTCTGCCTTCGATTAGTTGGATAGGGCTGTTCTCTGGGATTGTCTATTGAAGAAGGGTGTGTCTGAGAAGTTTATTAACATCCTAAAGGTCCTGCATACATACACCTCAGGCAGAGTGAGGGCATACAACCACCTTTCCCCATTGTTCCATTCGAGTAGTGGGGTTAGACAGGGTTGCCAAATCTCACCATTCCTCTTCAACTTTGCCATCGATGACATTCTGGAAACAGCTCTGACGGATGTAAGTAATGGTGGTGTGGATCTGTTGCCTGGAGAAAGAATTCTCGACCTTGAGTGTGCGGGCGATATTGTCTTACTGTGCTATAATTCCCAACCCATGCAATCCGCACTTAATCAGTTGGCAATCAATGTCCGTAGGTATGGTATGTGCTTTGCACCTTCGAAGTGCAAAGTACTTCTACAAGACTGGCAAGATTCTAATCCTGTACTCACTCTGGATGGTGAGCAGATAGTAGTCGAAAAGTTTGTGTATCTAGGTAGCTGCATAAATGTTGGTGGTGGTGTGAGTGATTAGATCAATGCAAGTATAGTGAAAGCCAGAGCGGCTTATGCCAATCTGGACCATCTTTGGCGCCTTCGTGATGTTAGTCTGGCTGTAAAAGGTCGGATCTACAACGCGTCGGTGAGAGCAGTTTTGCTCTATGCTTGTGAAACCTGGCCTCTCCGAGTTGAGGATATTAGACGACTCTCTGTATTCGATCATCGTTGTCTCCGAAGGATCGCTGACATTCAGTGGCAACACCATGTTAGTAATGCAGAGGTTCGGCATCGTGTGTTTGGGCACAGAGACGATAATGCAATTGGTGTCACCATCTTGAAACATCGACTTCGGTGTCTTGGACATGTTCTATGAATGTCGTCCCAGAGAATTCCACGTAGTGCATTATTTGCCGACTCTGGGACAGGTTGGAAAAAGCGGAGAGGTGGTCAGTATATGACATAGTGTCATGGTATGAAAGAAAGCTGCAAAGGGTTGGCTTCTGTTGGTCCTTCACGACTCCCTGGCTGGGGTCCGATAGATGGTGCGACACATTGGCTAGAGACGTTATCAGATATGGTTCAGAATCGAGGCCAGTGGCGATCCTGGTGTAACCTTTTACTTCATAAAAAGTGGTTGCTTCTTTCTTAACTGAAAGATTTCTTCTGCTTGTACCTTTCCCTTTCCTCCCTTATTATTATTATTATTATTATTATTATTATTATTATTATTACATTACCCTACACTAATCTGATCGTTATTATTCTTTTTTTTACACTCCTTACCTTCTTTCTTTTCTCTTCAAATTCTCATTGTTTTGTGTGGCGTATATATATTTGGTGCCCTCTTGTACCAATAATCATGTGTTCAAATAAATAAATAAATCTAATGTTTCATTTTAAATATGGATGTCACCCCATAGAAAATGTTTTACTCTATCCTGTAAGATAAGTCCAATTAGCTTTATGTAATCCGATTCTTAATGATTAAGAAAATTAAGTATATGTGCATAACCATACTACTGAAGAATTTATACGGCAGATCTACTTGGTGCGTATAAGAAACAGGGGAGCAGACTAAAAAAGCTGTCTCTCTCAAGACTACATATAAATTAATTCTGTTCTATATATTAGTACTTCAATGGTTAGCCAATTAAAAACTGTCCAACTTTCGACAATAAGAAATGGAGATCGAACGTTAGACATAATAAATAAGGATGAACCGATGGAATAATGTCACTAGTCTTTTTATATGAAAAAAAATAACTGAAAGTAAAGTTTATAATCTGGTACTTGGTTAATGAACCATATTAGATTATCAAATATTTTATTAAAATGGGGGTTTGTGGAGATTGTAGTAATTTTAATAGTTGAATTCATGAGTCGATGTAAGCTAAATCACCATCGAAAACCTGGAAGCACAGCAACTCATGAACTTAACTATTAAGGTCAAATATTTAATAAGTACACTGGAATTTATTTAATATATATATATATACATAAATCTATATATACCAAAAATGATGCTTACACTTAATCGCAGATGACGTACTATATATCCATCATGTCTTTCCAATGACAACACACTAACACTTATATTTCCAAATGTTTTGCTGGTACCAGGCAATGATATAGATTGATAAAAATTTATACCTCGATCATTTGATAATTTTCCACTGTTTTGATTATCAGTCATGTTATTGTTATTTTTATAATTATTGTTAGAAAATATTACATTACTATTATCTGTTATTGAAGATTGGTCATCTACACTTGCTATGCCACTATCGTGTAAATATTTTGATGTATCTATTCCACTACGGAGAACTCCAGTTGGTGCAGTTGTAGCAATAATAGAACCAGTTGAAATAGGTGAGCTAATATTAGTTGTATCAATATCGGACTGTTCATTTGAATGCTCACAATGATATGATAATGTTGAAGATTGTGAAAAGAACGGCGATGATAAACTTGGTAATAATGGATTAGTTGGAGTATTTGTAAACTGTGTAGGATTTGTTGCAGCAGAAGTTACAGATGATAAAGGATTATTATTATTGGTAGTAGTAGTAGTAGTAGCAGTATTAGTATTATTGGTCATAGCATCGGAATCAGGTGTGCATGGATCAGTTTTGAATAATGGACTAGTAGTAAATGATTGACTTTCCACAAATGATAATACATCCTCTTCACCAGAAGAATCAGGTAAATACAACTCACATTTAACCTATAGCAAAATAAAAACGAATGAAGTAATTATTCTTTTCGAATTGCAAGTATGATTCATATTCAATTAAATATGCATTATATTACATTGCATGCAAAAAGTATTTTCTTTTGATAGAAATAAAATCTACTAAGTTTGCACAAATGATCGATCGCTACTGAATGGTATGATCAGTCTTAGGTTTGTCCTTGTCCTTTTTTGTATCGATTGGATTATATTGGTCTGGTTGCAATATGCCCACCACCTAGTTTAAATAACTTGAAATGTAGGTCGAGTAGGGTTTTCCGTCGACTGCTTCTGACAACATCAAATTAAATATGTTCCTTATCAATCATAGTTTTGCTATGATTAACAATTGGATTAGTTTAATACTTGTATTCTCATTGGGGTTCGAATGAAACAACAACAATATTTCCAAATGTAACACGATCAGGGTGTTACAATAACTATTCTCTTTTATGTAAGGATGAAAAAGAACAAGTTCTTGCATTATATTGGGGCCAATGCGATTGGACTGTTATTTATGAGAGCAGTTGTATTATCTAGTCCGATAATTGATTAATTCCGCCAGATTGCCCTATAGTGGACCAATGACATTGAATTAGCCAATGAAAAATTCAATCACGTTTCTTGACCAATGACAGTAAAATAACGACCATGATTAATAATTAACACCTATTGCCCCAGGATTCAGATACTCACATTATTCTGCCTGATAGCCAGGACAGGACTAAAACACAGCAAGTAGACATATTTTTATTGAATAGTTCAGTTCCTAACTCACAACTCGTTTAATATCATCGGTCTGTCCATTACTTGACCGTACATAAATTAAAGATTACAATGTAAACATAAATACAATATAAGTGAAAAAGAACTGAACACCAATACTGTCATAGATGAACAATAACTTAAGGAAGGCACAATACGGAACAATAGTTTATGCACCCAAAGAAAGTTTGTAAATAAAAGAGAATGTAAGGATTTCAATGATACAAGTGTCTAATGATTATACAATAAAAGTACAAACAATGATTCATCATAAGATAATTTCAAAAACTACAATTTTTGCAATATTCACTTAATTATAACAGTCTAACACGGTGAAAATATTTTATTACAGCAGTTAATTGTTTCTTACTGTTGACATTTGTGAGTAGAGAAAAAACAAAATGAATAATAATGTACATCGGTATTTATTCGCATGTTTTTCTTAGAAGTTCGATAATTTGTAATCACAATTGACAACCATCTTTTTCAATTACATTTTTTTAAACAAGACAACAGAAAATTAAAACACCAATGTAAATATGTACATATATATCTGTGTGCGTATGCATGTAGTAGTCAAGTAGAGAATGAATAAACATTAATTTTGAGGGTGAAGATAAGTAAATGTTTAGTTACAGACAGGTTACTGAAAGTATATGGTGAGACATTAATTACACGACATCAATTACATCGTTTGAAAAAGAGATTCAGTTGAATCATCTGATCACTGTCCAGCAAACAACGTTATGTTACACGCTAAACAATTATCACCTCAAGTTATCTTACAAGTCTCATTGATAGTAAATTAAAAACCATTGGATGTCATTGATCTAACATTGATTAAATAAATACTTTAAAGGTTACTTCTGAAAACTTTACAACGAATAAAATCAACACAATGATATTTCGATGACAGAATATGTTTTATTAGTACATGAAATCTAATATTGTCAGAGAATTCACATCTTGAATATTTTGTAGTACAATTCCAGTATTATATATAAAGTGAAATACACATTAGATAAGTGTAAAATTTGATGTAATGATCAGATTGGTAAAATATAGATTTTAGATTATCTGAGATCTTGTGGACTAAGTACAATACAAATAACTGCATTTCTTCATAATATCAATTGATTAGACTAGAATTAATAAGTTTTCATGTTATTGAAGAGTGTATACCGTTTTTCATGCATAAAGACCAACTTGATACTAGTCAAGAATTTGTTCCGTAAATAGTTCACTTAAATATGTGATAATTCATTGTTTGATCACTTGAAATGTGGAAGTTTCTTCAAAACTTATACACAGCGTTAGCAAACATTACGTCAATCAACAATGCATTTGTAGTTTTACTAACAACAACAATAAATCTAATATTGCATAAGAGCTATCAATTGTAACAGAATTGTTTATTCATTTGAAGTGGTTATTTGAATCTTTTTATTTACGTTTAGGACAGCAGTTGACCAGTTGCTTTTGATATATATGCGTTATATGTGGATAACCTCTATATTGCTATTAAACTACAGTTGTTATAATCAGCACTCAACCATCTCTCCTTAAAATGCCTGTGACTAACTGGCAATAACGAGGCAATTCGCGCAGGATGCAAAAAGAGACTGATCAGTAACAGTCCTAAACATTAATGGGAAGATCCAAACAATCATAGTATACGAGTTAAAAATGAAATTCATCCCATTGCACAAACCAGTATTTATTTGGACTCAGTAGTAAGTGGATAACGTAATAGCGTTTGAAGTGAACGGTAGTGGGTTGAGTCCCAAAGTGTACATCAACTTAGAGATGAAAGTACATCCAGACGATGAGTCACAATCAGGACAAAACGCGTGTCCTACATTTCACTGCTACCCACCACTTAGCTTTGCCTATGAGAGTTGTGTTATTCTTTAATTTTAATTCCATTAGATTAATTAAATAAGACATCCAAAACATTTCTAACATAATTACTTGTATGTTTATTCTCAATGAGCGGAAAACGACAGTTTAGTGACAAAAACTCTAGTCGAAAAAATTCAGTTTTAGTCAATGATTGTACAAAATACATTAATTACTAATTTAACACTAGAGGTATGATACCGTTTTCTCACTTTATTCATATATTTACTCATATATTTCTAGACATAACAACTGAATGTAAATGATTACTGCCTATTTGGTGATATTTATTCTCATCTCGACGTAATTATATGATATGATACGATGATATCTTGGTCAGACAATTAATCTGGACACAATACCTTCATAGAATAGATGAAATGTGGCTAGTAGCGGAATCCATCATGCATGTTTCGTTCTTTTTGAAACTCGTTAGCTACACGTACCTGCATCTCAGAGTTAATGTTCCTTCCTACACTTGAACCGACTATCGTCCTCTTCAAATGCCATCACGTTATCCATTTAGCTACTGAATCCACATAGCCACTCATTTATGCAACAATTATGGATTTTAATTCAATTTGAAATGGTTTGTATTGTCAGGTTGTTGATATGTTTAACTGAAATTTGCACAGTCTTAGTTCGGATATGTGGATCCTGTGAGGATTACCTATTCTATATGAACTTGTGAAATAATTGCTATATCGAGGTAATCTACACAGTATGTACATATACCAACTAATATTGATCAGATTTCTGTTAAAAATATTAATAACGGGGTAATCCAAATCATCTCAAATTGAATTACAACAACTTTAACTCTAAAAGGATATAGATAATCAATCTGTGTATGATTTTAATTCATTTTGTATTGTTTGTTTGAATTTTCTCATTGATGTTCAGATGTGCAATTGATTGGTCTCTTACTGGCATATATGCACCCTATGCGGATTGCCTCGATATTGCCTTAGGTTACAAAAATTATAAGCAAATATGTATGGTGGCTAGCAGTGGAATCCAGGACGTGAGTTTTGTCTTATTCGGGACTCGTCACCTGGATGTACTTGCATCCTGGAGTTGATTTTAACTCCGTAGATCCAGTGCTAGCCACCATCTATCTTTGCTTATGGGTGATTCTATTTTGCCGAAATATAATCATTTGATACTGTAGGATTAATTCTGTCAAAATCCAATTCTTACACGTAATGTGCAAGTAAATGAACGAACAATTTTTGCTGAGTTATGTTCAATATTAATTTGATCAATCTCTCTAACGTCGAAATTCGATATTTTGAGAAAATACAATAATTGAGTTCTTATTGAACAAGACTGGATTTATTTATTTATTTACTATGTGACAAGTTAATATAACTACTATTATATATGTGTAATCGGGCACAAATCAACACCAGCACATACGAGCATACGCACAAACTCTCTACTTAAAAATGCACACAAATCGCGTATGATTAGCAATAGCATACAAAATAAACATTGGACACAATATATCGATATGTAAGTTGAAACGTGACCACATAAAGTTTTTAAAAAAGCATTAGGAAAATCTACTCGAGTCAAGCGCATGCATACATACACATATATAAAATTCAATTCGGTTATATGAAGAATAATAATAACTGGGAATGCGTAGGTGAATAAAAAAAATATTTACAACATAGCTTATGGATGATGCATGGTCCACCTAGATTTAATTTTCGTTCATTTAAATAGAAAATATTGATATCATCCATAAACCAAACAAAGATTATATGACAGTAGCAGTGTGTAGGTGGAGTGTTGTATTCATTATTATCAAATAATAATTTAGAAAACATTAAATAATTAATTTATTTTAATAGTTGAATTCATGAGTCGATGTAAGGTAGACCACCATTGAATGGTTGAGCAGTCATTCATGGATCGACGGAAGTAAGACATTAACACCATTGGATGCTCACTCCTTGGTCTAGAGGTTCAGCAACTGTGTGCGAGACCGAAGGTCCTGGGTTGAAATCCTGGGTGGGGGATTGTGGATGCGCACTGTTGAGTAGTCTCATATTAAGACGAAACGGCCGACCAGTGCTTTTAGGTTTTCGATGGTAGTTTAGCTTACATCGACTCATGAATTCAACTATTAAAATTACTACAATCTCCACAAACCCCATTCTGAGCACAATTTATTGTTACATAGCAAACACATTGGACGTTACGGACTAACTCATAAACAGAACTTTCACTTAACATTACTATTTTTAAATTAATGTTGGTTATGTCAGGTTAGATAGATAGATGAAAAATATATAATAATTATCAAACAATACTAAATTGATTCTAATTCATTTGAGTTATTTGGTACACGTCGATCGGTGGTTTCAATAGGTTATAGGATCCTCAATTGGTATTCGAAATAACAGTTGTTCAACCCTACTATTAATAATACGGCTTTACACTGTTTTATGACTTTCAGTTTAGATTTCACGCGTGAGAAAATACTAACTTGAGGCAATTACTAATTCTGATAATTTGAAGCTCTAGAAATATGTGGAACAATATACGGACAGCATATAATTTTGGTATATGAACATACGTGAACCATTACTGCCTAGAATATGAATGTAAGTATTAATAAGGAATGAATAATATATGTAAAGGAGATAGCTTACTTCTTTATTTTCAACCAATTTCGTAATCATAACAATGGTCGGTGCATGAGAATACCATACCATACGCCAAAAATCATTTATTGTATGTGGCATAACACCTTGAGTAGCAATAAATGCATTTGGACGACTTTTATAACCCTGTTCAAATTGATTCGTATCCATCCATTCAACATTGGTTTTCACATTTTTTTGAAAAAAAAACAATATTTATATGACAACTACCAATAACATTTAACATGACAAAGTATTAAATTTTTAGTCAACAATTAAAATTTTTATCAAGTTTACGAATATAATGTCCAAGTTAAATGAACCGGATGAACGAGAAAGTAATAAGAATAAAATTATTTAACGGTTGCATACTGAGAATTTATCAAGATAAAATGCTTACAATAAAGATCACATAACAGAAATATTTTTAAAGGATATTGGTATAGATTGATTGATTGGTTGATAACCTGATTAATTATAATCCGAATAGGCGACAAAAATGCCTTTTGAATAAAATCATACATAAGATAATTATCCAAGGTGAAAAAAACTGTGATGTCAATAGATGGTATAATGACAATTGTACACTATAGACAATTATTTAATTATTCATCCATTTGCATGAAATGTATAATGCTCAACCAGATAATAATCAGCTAAAGTTTCAGGGTATATGTAAATATCATTATAGATTATCCAATTTATACAAAAATCTTAAAAACTTACTTGGCTGCAAAATTACATAAATTTTGTCAGACTAAAAATAAATCTACTGTTTTTTCTTGATAGTTCTTTATATAATTATCACTTAAATATTTCACTTAAATTATGAACTGATTAATGTCAGATAATCATTGGGAACCTGAGGGCACTGAAAGGCCGACCCGTCCGAGTAAGATACTCTACGGCAGTGTGCATTCACGAACCCGTACATGGAAATCGGACCCTGGACCGTAGTTCTCGTGTGTAAACCCTTAACCTCTAAACTACTGAGTCAGCATCCAGCGGTGTTAATGTCTATCTTCAGTCAATCCACTACATTGTACGACCATCTCCCATGGTCTTCGGATGAGTAACTGTCTCACATACGACACAGATAAGCTCGATTGGTCAAGGCTTCTGACTAGAACTGCACAAATTTATTCTCGAAGCTAATCGCTAGTGGGCACAGGAGGTCCAGGATTCAATTCCCGTGTGGAAATTCATGGATGCGCACTACTACGATAAAACGGCCGTCTAGTGCTTACAGGTTTTCAAATAGTGGTCTAAATTAGATTGGTTGATGATTTCATTGAGATTTAACAACCTCCACAACCACTTACTGATATTTAGAAATTTACCTCTACTTATTACTTTTACTGACATAGACTTGTCGAATATTGTTCCTATGATTTTTTTGCAAATAAACAGAATAATTCCAGTAATACAGACATAATCATCTCAACTCAATGCTATAGGTCGGTCATCAAATAACAACAGACTAATTGAATCCATTGATTTTAAATTGACTGCATTCGAAACGGCGAAAATGAGCATGATAATTCGTGTTGCATTAAACGATAGTTATTACCATTATAATAATATACAATAAGCAGCAAAAAGGTTCATAACAGATGAACATGCTCAAAGCAAAAATAAAATATAATAACAATTTCAATTAATTTTTATAACTCATTTACCAGGTACTTTACTCATTTGAATATGTGCCACACTCTCACCGTAAGACCTAATAATACTATCGGATTGCCCAAACAGAAATAGACCTAGAAAGTAGTGTCTAAAACTCAAACGTTTTAATCACTGAGCTACTGCCCCCACTAAATTGGAGATAAACATCCACGACTATACCCGGGATCGAACGCAAGACTTTTAGTTTCGCTGCAAGTACTTAGCTTCCGGACCACTTAGGTTACGAAGAAAAGACTTGTTTAGTAGTATTAAAATAATGTTAGTTCATCGACACCCTCTTTTAGCAAGAGCGTTAACTGAATATTTTATTGCCAGTTATCTGTACAAAACGAACAGGACGCTATAATATATACTTAGACTTACTTTAATATAATTTGCATTAATATAGCTGGAAGTTATGTCATTGTTGATGACAGGTAATATGACACGAGTTGAGAAGTCTATGTAGAAAAGTAAATAAAACAGATTACTGAGATAATTAGGAACAAAGAAACAGAACTATAAAAAAGATCAACAATAGACGCAGTAAAACTACTAAAGTCTAAAAATCCTTTTGGTTATTGGTTGATATCAGCTTGAGAACCAATCGAAAATCAGCGAGACAATCAAGAGTTGTTTTATTTTTCTTCCAAAACTTTGGTACTTACTAACAGTGGAAATTAAAGTTTTCGACAAAATGTCGAAATCAGAAAGACTTGATTCTGATGGTAATCACAATACTATAAAGCAAATGAGAGAATTCCATTCGGTAATTTTCAAATTCAAATAATTTGTGATAAACAGAGACGATAAACATTACCTGTGATTAACTATTTAATAATGAAGTCAGTTATCCTGTATGTAGACGAGTCGATTAACAGATTAGCTACCATATTAGTGACAGTAATTATGATCTAAGAAAATATCACCCTCTGATTTAGGCCATTTTTGAAACCATAAGTGATTGATACCAGAACCGAAAAGATTGATTCCTACTTACCTACGACTTTCAACTCTAGGGGGGAATGGGCTGCAGACCAGAGATTTCTAACAAACTGTCACGTGTTCATTTTTCCAGTTTCTTCCCAAGTGATACTCACTTCTATGATGTCTGATTCACAGAGCAACATTTTCCTTTGTCTGCCTCTTTTCACTTTCAAGCCAGTGCTTGACTCACGATGTAGTCTGATGATTACTGCACAGCACGACCTATCCGTCTCGAGCGTCTCTTCCTAATTTCCTGTTCTTGTGGGAGCCGGTCTGTTCATTGACACAGCGGGTTATTTCTCATGGTGTCGGGACAACGGATATAAAGTATTTTGCCTAGACAGTTGTTTATAAATACCTGTCACTTTTTGATGATGTTTGTAGCAGTTCTCCAAGTCTCAGCTCCCCACTATAAAACTGTTTCGACATTTGCACTTAAACTTCTGACTTTGATGTTGGCTGACAGTTGTTTTGAGTTCCGTATGTGGAAATGCTGCTCTTGCTCTGCCTCTGTGCATTTACGTCTGCATCAGATCGCCCTTGTTCATCAATGATGCTTCCCAGGTATGTAAAAGTTTTCACCACTTTCAGAGATTCTCCATCAAGTGTCATTGTGTTGTTCTCTGTGTTGCGATACATCTTGCTTTTTCCTTGTGTATATTGAGGCCTAATACTGAAAAGATTGTTGCCACACTGTCGGTCTTCATTTGTACTTGTTGGTGTGTATGAGAGAAAAGGTACAGGTTATATACGAAGTCCAAATCGCTCAAGTGGGCCCAAGATGTCTACTACATTCTGTGCTTCCCTTGAGATTTGGATGTCTTTATAATTCAGTTGACAGCCAGAAAAAAATTGCAAATGCTAGGGTAAGCATTCTTGTCTAATATCATTCTTCGTAAGATTTCTGCATGATGGTGACAATCTTGTCAGGCACTCCATAATCCTAAGGGAGGTTCCACGAAACTTTCCTATCTACACTGTCCAATGCTTCCTCATAGTCGAAGAAGTTGATGCATAGTTGTTATATCCCGATGAGAATAATCAACGGTAACTGTTGAAATCTATTTCTGGACTAATACTATACATATATTTTTATTGTATAATTGTTAAGTTACTAAACTATTCATATTCGTGTTCCTCTTATTATAAGCTTTATTTTCATCTATGAACTATTATTATACGATTTAGCATTCTTGAGTTATTTTCAGTCTATCAATTACTCTCTTCCACATTCACAGCCATATTTGGCTAAATCTTGTACAAATGTTATTTTCTATTTTATGGTACGATGTGGTCTGTTTGGTTTGTATATAAGCCTAGTATATTCGAAATACATGATTCATATCGCAGAGGCTGAGGTTGGTGTTCTGGAATTAACAGACAGGGCTAAGCAGGAAACAGGACCGGTAAAGACTCTAGACTGCTCGTACAGGTTTATGCGTCATTGTTTCGGTCGATAATTCACTGTTCTCTAATTGGTGGTATCATTACGTTATACATAAATAGGCCACAAGTTATAACAATGATGACGAACTCCATTCAATCAGTTGCTCAATGATGATCCAAAGTGTCATAATTTGATCGGTATACAATCGATCATTGATTGATTATACTGGTTTCTAATTTTAATTTGACCTGATTATCACGAAATATTTACCAGGTTATAACATCATAGTACTATGCCTTTTTAGTATAAAAAGCAACATCAATATTGCATACAAAATACTTGACAAAATCGATATGATTCAAAATATGTGTACTTTAGTAGATGGAATTATTTTGAAAAACAATGAATAGATAAAATTCAGATGAATAGAGAAATCAGTTAGAACCACAATTCAGAAAATCAAAACTATTGATATTATAAAACAAGATTAATTAGTATAAGAAACTAGAGAGAATTAATTCCGTACCAATAAAATAGGGGCAAAACAATCTTAAACAAGCTATTATTAAACTAATTACCAAAACGAAGCTTGAAATGGTTTTAAATTTTACCATAACTGCAAACATAAAACAGGAAACGTAGTCATAGAATACAGATTCATTTGCCACATTTTATGTTAAACTTGATGCGAGCGTGCTAGATGACTTCCGTCATCATTGTTACTGAATTATTTCTTACTTAATTAATTGCGCCTGTAACTCCTCGTGGAGGAGCATAGGCCGGAATTATTTTTAGTCACTTGTTAATCACCTCATTGTGTTGGTGTATTCTGGTAACTTGGGTTGACACACATTTATGTAGAGTTCTGTGTTGATTGTTATTGAGTGGGAAACTGAGTTTGTGGATTTCAGTGACTGTTTATTTTTTTGCATTGCTTATTAACATAAAATATTTTATAAACATTTTAATATCTGTAAAAAAAGGGAAAGGAAATAGTTTGTATTGCTTTCCTTTTAATTCATTTATTCATTGTTTCTCTGTTTTTATTACTACTCCTATCCATTTGTTTTACTTTTTTATCAATGTTGATAATAATTATCCTCATCATTATTGTGTTACTACAACACATTCAATACATTAATATTTCTATTCAATATAGCTGATTTCAACTTTTTTTTCCGATAATTCGGTGTGTACTTGCTTATACAGGTGTGTGATATATATGTATTTAGGTTTATGTATGTACGCATGTATGGATGATGACGATGATACAAGAGAAAGCAATATTTCTTCTTTATGTCACAGTCTAATGCATAAATTTTTCACCCACGCATTTTTACTGTAATACATCTACACCTACACGTACACACGTACTTTTTATCTTTATAGTCTACTTTTTGAATGATTGAATATTTGTATTTGAGACATAATAAAATTGTTTGTTGTTGTTATTTATATACAAGTGTTTAAATTTCGGAAAAAAAAGATGTAATAATAGTGGTCGTTTGTGTCACGTACACGATGCTTTATGCGCGTATGCATATGTATGCATGTATGGTTTCTAGTTCATATTGACCTTTTGTAACGTACACTTACCTACATAAACACCCACCCGCCCACATTACATCATACGCCCACTCATGACCAAATTCCATCCATCTTGCTTCACTTTGCTATCTAGTAGTGTTGTTTTCTTTTTCTTTGATTTTATCAGTTATATATATAATTAGTGTAACATACTGATCGTTTTAACTTATGCGAATAAATAATTCATATTTCATTTTCTTATTATAGGCAGTAGGGGTCAAAATCAACTTTATTTTTCAAATTTATGATTCTCTATCTGCTTTATTACGTTTATTAAAGAAATTCTATATTCCATTAAGAAAATTTAGGATTATGAAGATGTAAACAAAACGTAAATTGGACAATACAGTACTCCTCTGTACGAAAAACATAAATTACATTGAGAAATTGATATTTATTTACCTATCAAAATTGCAATGCTTGACTAACATGTTATTTACAAGGTGGACATTATAAAAGTACCAATGTGTCGACGTTAAGTAATATGGGTATGATAAAAACATCAATAGCTCAGTTATAATAAATTTAAAATATAGATAGTTTATTCACTAATTTATAATAATCCGATCAACCGGTTTTAATTTTTAAATTAGTTCACTTCTATGTTCTTGAATAATTTAAAAATTAACTATTTTGTACAATAAATTATTTAATTCTTCTTCTTAGCTAATATTTGTTCAGATCTTGAAGTGAATAAAACTTAAGTAGAAGTAATTCAAAATTAATTTAATGAATAAAGTAAACATACACCTAAGAGCTAAATTTGATGAACGATTAATATTTTGAGCGCTAAACTGTCAACCAGTAGGTTATAGTTATAGATTTCATTTCAGTTTATGAATCATAATCAACACAGAGCTCAGCACAAATGTATGCTAACCCAAGTTACCAGAACACATCAACACAATTAGATGAAATGAATAAGATGATTAACAAGTGACTGGAAATAATGAATTAACAATGATAATAAGGAAGACTAAACGTTGAGTACATGATTCCAAAAAGGTGAATGGAAAGTAGATATCTGAAGAAATACAGGAAGTCGAGATTTAGAGGAAGAAAGAGTGAATGAATCTTCACTACTACTCCATTGATTCTGAATCGTGTTACACAACGCTTCCATCTGCATTTCAAGTCAACCAAAGACAGAGTGAATCCATCAACTATGATGGCTCAAACCGACAATCACTGACTTCATAAAATGATCTCGTGCATTGTTTTGGCCGCCACCAGTTTAATTCCAATCCGTTCCTACTCCATTCAACCTCGTAATTCGAGTTAAGGGTTGGTTGCTTAGATGTAGGTAATACATGTTCAAGTCTCGTCAATCGATGAAGATCTATAGCTGTATAAACCAACTTACCATTCTCCCGTGGTAACAAATTACTAGTCTCAAAAGTAATAATTCAGTTGTTTCACGATGCTTGAGACATTTGCAATAAAATATTTACAGTCACTGTATGTTTCATGCCCGTTTTACATGGATGGAGTAATGCAGAG